GGAGATGAAGTCGAAGATGTAGGAGGGGGGGAGGGTGCGGCGGAAGGCGGCTGTGGTTTGGATGGATGTTAGCGATTTGGACCCGATGGGGAGGGCTTGAGGGAGGATCTTGGGAATATGCCATGTACCCACCCGTTTGGGACTTGAAGATGTGGGCGCTGGTGCCGTGCCCGTGGAGGCAGAGGATCTTCGGCATTGTTTCTTGATCCTGTGCCCTCGCGACTGCGCCGATTGAGTGAGTATAGGACTTGAGCCCAAACAACTGGTGAAGGAGATCGGCAGGTGATGTCTTCTCCAGAGGATCAAAGGGTCGGAGTCAGGTTGGTTACCGATGAGGGGGGTTTGTACTACGTGCCGCCCGACCTGGGTTTCAGGAATGCAGGACGATAAGCACCAACATTCCAATCCCTGCATGCAGTGAGTTGATAAGAGCCATCCGGGAGGAAACTCAACTAAGCCATGCCCGGCTCGGCAGGTTCTAGGCCCTGTTGGGTCCGCGGGTATGTGCCTGGGCTGAGTTTCGGTCACCGAAGCCGGACGGTGTCAGCATTCCGGCAAGGGCAAGGCTGAGGCTGACGCTCTTACTATCCGGTCTCTGCGTGAGCTGTATTCGATACTCGATGCGCCTGGTTCATTTTACTGAGGGGCATTATAAAACAATGGACGTATACATAATGTACGGGAAAGCTTTGGGTTCTTTTTGTACGGAGCGCTTTGGATTTTATCGAGGGAGACACTTGAATGTACATATGTATCGGATGCTTTCTTATGATATAGGCATTCTACTAACGACTCCTGAAGGGGTAGTAAAGCCCCCTTCGCAGTTGACTTCATTCACTCCATATGGTTTCGGGGTGTTTTGCTGAACACCTCGGGCTTGTGGCTTCCGATACTCAGACATAGAAGCAGCTGTTGGCAAAGTCCAGTGATACATATGACCCATGATTAGTATGAAACAACGATGACTAGAGATCGACTGGCTCGGGTTCCCCTAATCCATCGTTCGACAAGATGATAACCTTACATGGCTACCCGTGGACATTAAGATTATCAAACATCAACGCACGGAATGCTATGTAAACGAACGACGGAATTGAAGATGTTTTAGCAGTCGCCATGATGAGAGAACATACTTGTCACGAAGCAGTCAAAGCTGTTAGCACTGCCTACGTCCCTATGGTAGCAACCTGTACATAAGCTTTATCACAGGGCACACTACCAAGCCTTCGAGGAGACGGCGATCTCGCGACCTATGATATCCAGCACGAGACCGGTAACCAATTGTCGCGAGCAACCTTAATAGCCGGGCCAAAAATTGGGAGCTTCTTTTCCGAATGAGGATGTGCATGTAACCAGTTACAACCTTCAGGGCTGCCTCGGTGCTTGATGGCCGAATCGTAACGGCAACAATGGACAAAGACCAAAGTATGCATCCTCTCGATAACCAGCGGGATAATCGACTTCAATATTGATGTTCTTTATAGATACAACCATGGATCCATGGATACACCCTCGAGGCTCTTGAGCTTCCAACGATCGCAAGCTGGCAAGCAAAACCCGAACCAGGCTTCTCGAACCTCGGACCAAGACCTTGAACAAGGGCGATCTACATGAACTCTCCACAAGCGTTGTGAAGAATCCGGTCTTTGCCCAGAACCAAACAACTGGGTTTACTAGTGCGTGGGGGGTGTTCTCGAACCGGCGGTTCTCTCCGCAGCAGCCCTCTACAAACGGCAATCGACATGACTATCACAGCAGAAACCTTCACCAACACATATAAACTTTGCCTCCTGAAACGCCCACGTTGTGATCTGCCATCCGCGAGTCCACGATCTCATTCTCGTACTCCAGAAGCATTCCCACGGTTCAGGGTGTTGCTATAACGCCGGCATTCCCCCTGTCTCCAACACTCTCTTGAGACTTGCATCGTCACGCCCGCCTCCATGTCAACCTCCAACCCACCGCTTCCCGGCGAAGGTTGTTCGCGATGGCAGACGTCGAGAACCGCGGCTGGGTCCTCTACGCCGTCTCCTGGCCGCTCTTCGGTCTCGCCCTCCTAATCATCGCCCTGCGCCTCTGGGTCCGCGCGCGCATCGTCCGCTCCGTCGGCTGGGACGACGCATTCATCATCCTTGCCTTTGTCTGCGCGCTTATCAACACGGTCCTCGTCACGATAAGCGTTGAATACGGCACCGGTCGACATGCGTCTGATCTTACCGAGAACCAGCGCATCCAGTCGATGAAGTACCAGGTCCTCTCGGCCGGATTCCACGTTATGAGTACGAACTGGGGCAAGGTTTCCGTTGCGTTGTTTCTCATCCGTATTATTTCTGAGGTGAAGAATCATAAACGGGGGATGTATGCGCTTATTGGTGTCATGAGTGCGATTAATCTGGGTGCCGTTATCACGATTTATGCGCAGTGTCAGCCCACGGCGGTGATTTGGGATCATAGGCTTGCGGGGCCGGAGGCTTGTTGGCCGCCGGGGACGCAGAAGAATTATTCGTTCTTCCAGGGTGGTATGTTCTCTCAGCTGGGTGTCTATGTAATGATGTCGGATGCAGGTGCTGATTGCGATGTAGCTGCGTCCGCGTTTACCGACCTCATCCTCGCCGTATACCCCCTCTTCACGATAAAAGACCTCCAAATGGCAACCAAGGTCAAAGTCGGGTTGGGATTTGTCCTGTCACTTGGTCTTGTGTACGCCTCTGCCCACTGACCTTCTCAATACCTATATCCAACCCACTAACAGATATCAGTGCAATGGTCGCCGCCATCATCAAAGCAACCCACCTCCCCGACATGACCTCCTACGAAGACTACACCTGGGCCACAGTCGACCTCACAATCTGGGTCTCCCTCGAACAATACATCATAATCCTCGCCGCGTGCATCCCGGCCCTAACACCCCTCTTCAACATCATCATCCGGCGCGCCTCCAACCGCTCAAAATCAAAGTCCAAGTCCAGGTCCAAGTCCAACGAACTCATCCCCAACGCCGCCGGTGGCGACGGCACAAAACGCTCCTCCTACAAAAGACATCTGCGTCACAGCTCGCGCAGTAAAGGGCTTAGTCGGGACTTCGTGCTGGATATAGACTCGAATGCCTCGAGCTCCCAGCACCAGAGCTATAACCCTTTCGCGAGTGTGGGCCGCGAGTACGTCGAGTACCCGCTCACCTGGACGAATTTGCAGCCGCCGCAGCAGGGCGATCTGGCGAGTATTACTAGTGGGAGTGAGAGTGAGTTGCATGTGCCGGAGGCGATACCGTCGGCAGAGGCCGAGAGTGGGATTTTGCGCACGACGGAGTTTCGGATTAAGGCGGTTTCGAGTGAGAGGTATTCCCATTATAGGGCTGGTTAAGATGGGGTTGCGCCTGGGGGTTTATGATTAGGTTATGATAATGAGAATGGGAGTCCCGGGACTATGATATCCTGTCCCGAGTTGATCTTTGGGTAGTTCTTCTAACTGATAACCACAACCCCCGGTTTTTACCAAGAGAGGGATGACAGGTTCATGCTGACAGTCTCCAGGACGCCGGTAGCCGGGGCGGGTTCCAGGGTTATATCCGGAGAACAAAGAAATGTGGCTGATGATGATATCAGCTGGATGCGACCGCTCGGCACCGTATAAAGGCGATCCTACTGCCGGTTAAAGGTAAAATCTTAGATTATTTGTGCATCGCAGACCTGCGGTATCACCCCCAGCTACAGGGTATATCAACTACACCTGCAGGTAAATCCCAAGTCAACATGAGTCCCTTGCAGAAAGTGGCCCTGCTCGGCGTACGTGCCCCTTCCCCCGAGAACCCAATGTACCTAAATACGAACAGAACACAGAGAGGCAAGCTGGGCACCGTCCTCCTGACCGAACTCCTCAACGCCAACTACCCCGTAACAGTCCTCAGCCGCACCACCACCCCAGCGACCTCTCTCCCCCCCGGCGCAACCCTGCACCAAGTAGACTACACCTCATTCGAAGACCTCAAAACCGCACTCACAGGCCACGACACCATAATCTCAACCCTCGCCTACAGCGCCATGCCGCTCCAAAAACCCATCATCGACGCCGCAATCGCCGTCGGCGCAAAGCGCTTCATCCCAGCCGAGTACGGCGCCATGGAAATCGACCCGCGGATAACGTACTACAAAGAGCCGCTGGAGATCCGCGCGTACCTAGCGGAGAAGGCGGAGCGTAACGAGATCGAGTATGCGATTTTCCACGCGGGCGTGTGGATGGAGGTTATATTCAGCACGCCGCTGATTGTGGACTTTGAGCATCGCGGCGTGAGGGTGTTTGATGGCGGCGTTCATGGGTTTAGTGTTAGTCGGGTGCGGACGCTTGCGAGGGCGATTGTTGCGTCTTTGGAGAAACGTGAGGAGACGAGGAATCGGGTTGTTAGGGTTCATGATGCGGTGCTGACGCAGCGGGGGGTTTTGGAGATGGCGAAGAAGTGTACGCCCGGTGAGGAGTGGGTGGAGATTAGCGTTGATGCGCGGAAGGAGGTTGAGGAGCTTATTGAGAAGACCGGGGAGAGGGTTGATGATCTGCTTTGGCCGGGGTTGTTTGCGGCGGTGTTGATGAGTGGGGGGTTTGGGGCACAGTATCGGGATGTTGATAATGAGCTGTTGGGGATAGAGATGATGAGTGAGGAGGAGATTGAGGAGTTTTCTAGTGGGTGGAAAAGTTAATGGGCTTGCATTGATTGTACAATTGAACTCGTGCAGTGTCTTAATGATGATGCTGTTTATAGCCTATGCCTTGATGTTTTGTGATCGTTCACTACCATGCCTATACCTCCCAAGTCTGCCCATGGTTCCGTCCATTTGCTCGGAGAATGTATACAACTACTCGTGTTTATCGTAGTGCCACTCCAAGCATCTATCTTGGTATCAGTACCTTCCGTTGAAACTCGACCTTTGCGCCGAATGACTGTCGCGCCTGCTTCTTCCCGTCGTTCATATCTACGACATATCAAACAACATGCCTAACAGATTATTGTCGGCGGCCAAGAAGCGCTGGCTAACCTCTTTGCTGGCTATTCTGCGAGCGCTCGTCTTCATGATGTTCAAGTGGACGGACAAATACCTCGGCCCCTCTCAGGGCTTCGTTAGCGATTGATGCACAAAGTTGACTTTAGGGCTGATGCAGGCGAAGAAAGGCATCATTCCCATGCGCCACTTGGCTACAACAACGACAGACGCTGCATTACGAGTCAGAGTCGTATCCGCCCCTCGTATTTGTGGGTTTGTTCGTGTTATACGGTATAGTGCGGTTGGCGCCGCTAAACCTGGGATACGAGATCTGGGCCACTTTGGATTCTAAAGTTAGAGACGCATGTATTCAAGTCCAATACGATCTCATGCTGTCCTGCATGCTATCTTACAGGAATGTAACCCAAGAACAATAGTGCCTTGCTCCGAGAGGCCGTCTCCAAATATAATCATGATCGACAGGGATCGGCGTGAAGAAGGGAGCAATCAGCGCTCGGATCCCGAGGGTTCTCTTCTTCTAGGGGGATATTCGTATACTGCCGACACCCCCCCACACAAACGGCCCACCACTCGTAAGTAATTAATTCGTTCATCTTTGTATGATACATCCCATACATTTCAGAACAGACGCCTTCTCGAACTATGTTCGCTGCGCGCGCCGCGCAGCGATAGGGTAGCGATTTAAAAAAGTATAGATACTGTGCAGGTACATTATATTATATGGCAAACTGCATATAAATTAATGTACCGCACAATATATCGACTTTTGCAAGGTAAAATGGTGAGAATCGATAAGTTACAAGGGCGGTGAAATCGGGCGCGGCCAATTAAAAGAGAGTATTCGCGCCGATTTGGCAGAATTCGGACCAGAGGAGTTCCGGAGTCAACTACCACCATATTCAAATATATATCTTATCGTTAGATATCGACCATTCACTAAAACAGTGAATAACTCCAGAACTTCATGGATTTAGATACTAAAAAAACTTATATAAAGCAACTTAACCTTGCGCCTTTAATATATTCACTTTATTTTAATTTTTATCGCGATTTCGTGGCGCTAAAAGCCTGCAAAGTTAGGAGTACGATCATAAAGAAAGCGGCACGTGAGGATCTTGGCCCTCGATTAAATGAAGCTATACTTTATATGGAAAACCCTATATAAACAAAAGCCACAACAAATCCCGGCACGTATTCCTATACACACCCCAGCTAGGTAAGCCCTCCACCTCCGTACCAAGCTAATTTCTATGCTAATAGACCTCCGAATAGCTTCAGGAATACAGGTACTTTGATTTATATGCGAATCCCTATAGAAATTCAAGTACCAGCGCGTCGGCGGCCTTGCCAGCGCGTCGGCGGCCTTGCCAGCGCGTCGGAGGCCTCATCCCTAGGCCAGCACCGCGCGGATACACCTCCGAATAGCTTCACGAATACAGGTACTCCGATTTGTATGCGATCTCTATAGAAAACCAAGTACCAGCGCGTCAAAGGCCTTATTCCTAGGTCAACATCACGCGGATAGACCGAAAAGCTTCACGAATACAGGTACTTCGATTTGTATGCGATTCTCTATAGAAAACCAGGTACCAGCGCGTCAACGGCCTTGCCAGCGCGTCGACGGCCTTGTTCCTAGCCAAACACCACGCGGATGAACCTCCGAATAGCTTCATAAATACAGGTACTTCGATTTGTATGCCATTCTCCATAGAAAACCAGGTACCAGCGCGTCAACGGCCTTGCCAGCGCGTCGACAGCCTTGTTCCTAGCCAAACACCACGCGGATAAACCTCCGAATAGCTTCATAAATACAGGTACTTCAATTTATATGCCATTCTCCATAGAAAACCAGGTACCAGCGCGTTGGTGGCCTTTAACACCGATCTATAGTTAAAAAACGCGTTTACTGCGCCTCAAAATAACTTCAAAAATGAGTTCTCAAAGGTCTTTATTATTAAATTTGCCAGTAAGGTACGGGTACATCAATTTGTGTGGGAGATCTCATAAAAATCGATGTACCTGCACCTTAGCGCGGACTTAGCAATTTTCAAGCAAGTGCGCCCTGAAGGCCTCTGTTCGCGTTTGTATGTTATTTACCATACAAACTGGAACAGCTCGATTACACGGGCACGTGAGGCACTAAAACTCATTCCGACACTAAATGTGTCGGCAGTATACGAATACCCCTTCTAGGGTTCGCTTAGAGCATCACCTATTCGGTATATACTCCGACGTCCTACTAGTGTTCACAGGCGATGGCCTCGTATTCCGGAGTATAAAAAGGCGCTGAGACCCGACAGACTTTACCACCATCAAGCCGTAAACCCACCGAATCACTTACTCTCATAACCAACCCCAGGCAAGCAAAATGAAAGCCATCTCCCTCCTCGCCCTCCCCAGCCTCGCCTACGCCGCCGTCCAAGGCTTCGACATCTCCAACTGGCAGCCAACAGTCGACTACGACGGCGCCTATGCCTCGGGCGCCCGCTTCGCCATGATAAAAGTAATTCTCCCAAATCCCTTCGGCATCCAATCTGACAGATATTGGATAGGCCACCGAAGGAACAACGTACATAGACCCGCTCTTCAACACCCACTACCCCGGCGCAACATCCGCCGGTCTCATCCGCGGCGGATACCACTTCGCGCACCCGGATAGCTCCTCGGGTTCCGCACAAGCAAGCTACTTCCTCGCCCACGGCGGCGGATGGAGCGCAGACGGCCTCACGCTGCCGGGCATGCTGGACCTCGAAGCAGGCTGCTACGGCCTCTCGCCGTCCGCAATGACCTCCTGGATCCGCGACTTCGGCGAGACATACAAAGATGCGACGGGGCGGTACCCCATGATCTACACGACGACGAGCTGGTGGACGGAGTGTACGGCGAATAATGCGGATTTCGGCGACTATCCGCTTGTTTTGGCGCGCTGGGCGAGTAGTCCTGGGACTTTGCCGGCCAGCTGGGATTATTACTCGTTCTGGCAGAATAGTGATCAGTATGCGTTTGGGGGCGACTCGCAGGTTTGGAATGGGAGTGAGGAGCGATTGAGGGTTTTTGCGTCAGGATAGCTGTCTTGTATGTTGAACTCATGATGAACTCATGATGGGGATAGAGCTGTAAGGATTGTGGAGAGCACGTCATCAGCCCCGAGAGTTGGAGTGCTGCGGGGTTGAATCCACGGAATTGACGATTATAAATTATAAATTACCCTCCATCCTCCTCTCATCATCCCCAGTACCACCCACAATGTCCAAATCCAACGTCCTCATCTTCGGCGCAACCGGCGCAATCGGCTCGTACATCGCAGCAGCCATCACAAACGCGCGCGAGCACTTCGCCCGCATCGCAATCTTCACCTCCCAAAGCACGCTCACCTCCAAAACAAGCGAAATCAACGCCCTGCGCGCCAAAGGCGTCGACATCCTCGTCGGCGACATATCCAGCAAACACGACGTGCTCAAGGCCTTCGCCGGCTTCGACACCGTCGTCAGCGCACTCGGGCGCGGAGTCATCGCGCATCAAATTGAACTGATTCAATGGGCGGATGAGAGCGAACACATCAAGCGCTTCTTGCCGTCGGAGTACGGCACCGATATTGAGTATGGACCGCAGAGTAAGGACGAGAAGCCGCACCAACAGAAACTGAAGGTTCGGGCTGCGATTCGCGAGACCAATCTGGAGTATGCGTTTGTTGTTACGGGACCGTATGTCGATGTTCCGTTTTATTTGGGCGCCGGTGGGAATCCGCGCGGTGGGAGTTGGGATGTTAAGGCGAAGAAGGCTGTCCTGCTTGGGGACGGGGAGGGGAGGATTAGTCTTGTTGCTTGTGCTGAGTACGCTGCCCCTGTTTCTGTTCCTCTTGATAATGGATGATGGATGGAATGCTAACGGGCTCAGCGTCGGCAAATTCGTCGTGGCAACCTTAACGCACTGGTCCAGCGCACGCGGCCGCGCACTGAAACTAAACTCGTTTACCACGACACCGCGCGAGATCCTGGCTGAGTTCGAGAAGCAGACGGGGGAAAAGTGGGATGTTGAGTATACGTCCTTGGACCGGCTCAAGGAGTATGAGAAGGAGGCGTGGGAGAAGGGCGAGCCCGATGCGACAGCGTTGACGCTGCGGCGGATCTGGACGGAGGGCGGAACGTTGTACGAGAAGAGGGATAATGGCGATATTGAGGATGAGGAGACGATGACGCTGGAGGAGGCCGTTCGGGAGGCGATCAAGGCGCAGACTGCAGGAGTGTAGTGATTGCCTGCCGAGTGGGGATTTGAGTATCATCATGTCTTCGGTATGATCTATCTTTCTATCTAATATACAGTATCTACAGTCAAGTATTACTTCCCCGTCCACTTCCACGTCGAGTTCCGATGGATATGGTACTCCCCACTCTCAATCGCCTTCTTGATCCCCCACAGCCCCCCTAGCGGCCAGACCGAGCGCACCTTCCGACTCCACGACTCCTTCCGCTCCCTCCGATCCGCTTCAACATCGATCTTGATCTTATCATACACACTCGGCAACGTCGTAGCGTTGTACTTCTTCCGCAGCCCATCATACCACGTGCGATCATACATACTCCAGAACTCGTCCTCGCCGTAGTACGTATGCGCGTAGAACCACTTCTGCCCACCGAGCTCGTTGAGTCTCCGCTCCAGCTCCCGATTGGCGGTGATGAACTCATCCTGGTCTTTCGGCCCGAACCCCCACACCCCAATATTGAGCATCTGGTCCTCCGTAAACCCGGGACTCCGCACAGCCGAGTGCGGGTGGAACGTCGGCGTAGCGCTCTGCTTCAGCGGACACAGCCACAGCGGCCAAATGCCCAGCTTCCCGCTCGTATAGTCGATGAATTTCTCCGCGTTCGCGTACGGGAGCGCCAGGTCCTGGATCACGAACCGGCTCGACTCCCCGCTCGCGTGCAGCGCCTTGTACAGCATCCGCGTGTGCAGGAAGTCGTCCAGCCACCAGCGCGTCGCCCGGCTGAACGGGAAATGGAAGTAGTGGAATGCCGCCCGCCCAACCCAGAACCCGCCCCGGTCGTACCGGAACAGATACTCCGCCAGCGGGATGTAGTCTGTCACGGGCGCGTTCATGCTGCGCCGCGTCTTGTCTTTCACGTGGAGATAGTACCACGGGTCCCAGGCTTTGCTGAAGGTCTGGATCTTCGCGGCGTCGGGCATCTCGTTTGTCATTTCGCCGGCGACGACGACGCCGTGGTCGGGGCCGTACAGGATTCCGTCGACGTAGTCGTTTGCGTCGTTAAGTGTCTCCGCGTGGACGTTTGTGATGGAGTCCGCGACGCTCTTCTGCGGGAGATACGTCGCCTTCACGAACTTCTTCGCCTCGACGAGCTGCAGCTCCATCATCGTCGTCACGCCCAGCGTTCCCACTGCCCCGGCAGCACCACGAAACAGATCCCGATTCTCATTCTCCGAAACATTCACCACGCCCCCGTCCGCAAGCACCATCTCCACGTAATTTATGGTGCGATCGAAGAACCCGTATCGAAAGCTCGAACTCTCGCCCGCCGTCCCCGCGAATCCCCCGCCCGCCGTTATCCCCGGGAACTCCATGACGACTGGCGGGACGAGCCCATGCTTCAATGTCGCCTCGACAAGGCGGTCCATGGGGACGTTTGGCTCGACGAGGGCGGTGCGCGCTGCGGGATCGACGCGGAGGACATTGCGGAGGTCGGAGATGTCGACTTGGTGTTTTCGGCGGATGGGGCGCGTGCTGTTTGTGGAGCCGTGGGCGATGCGGAAGGGCTGTTTCTTTTCGTAGAAGGTGCGGATTAGGGAGGAGATGCGCGCGACGGCGGCTTTGTGTGTCTCGAGGCCCATGGTGCTGGGTTGGGTCTTCTGGGCTGTTGGTTGGAGATTTTGCGGAGACGCGGAGCTTCGGAGGGGAAAGTGGCGGCCTGAGGCAAAAAGGTCACATGGTCTGGAGCTGCACGTGACCTCCGCCTGGGCGAGGATTGCTGCATGGCTCACAAGGCAGCATCTGGAGGCTCAAGATCTCTCGGTGCTGTATCTACCAATGGAGACTTAGTCTAGACTTTAGGGGGCGACGAAGCTCACTGTGGGTTGCACCTTGAGCTGGTCTTGTGTGCAAAATATATGTTTCAGCGAGAATTTGCCCCAGATTAGGGCAAGGTACCTATGCGAAGCAACCAACGAGATCATGAGATCTGCCAAAGTGACCTCAGAGAGTCAATCCGAGCAAATAAAAAGCCTCTTTAAAGAAGCCTGTAATTCATGATTCCGCCTGGGTGACAAATAATGCGCAGTGTCTGCGAACCAGCGCTCAGAGCGCCCAGAGTGGCTGTTCGTATCGAGTAACCTCATGGCAATCCCTGCTTCTTCCCCCAGAGGGTAATTCTAAGCGGGCCAGTAGCTCTGCTCCCTAGGTTATGCCGCAAGGGTTCTCAGCTTTATTGTTGGAATGCTATGGTAATCATTTAGCCCGATGCTTTACCCGGTTGAAGTTGCAGATGGAAACATGAATGGTCCTGAAATAACGGGGTTTTCGTCTGTCCTCGCACCCCAAGATCCCCTGGAGGGCTCCATAGCACCAGAAAGTCTAGACACGCAAAGCTCCAACCAACCAAAATGGGCGACGCAGCGACAACAATCCCCCTAACAACCATCTTCACCCGCCCGACCGACTGCTCTAACAGCTGGACCTACGAAGCCTCGCCCTACAACGGCGTATCCGCCGGCCTGCTAATCCAAAATGCCATCAGGCCAGGCATGGATGTTGCCTGGTAACCACCGGGATATAACCATGCTGAACGCAATGCACACGATGTCGTCTTTAGTCCCGGCGCGTGTCCGCACGGGTACACGACGAACGAGCTAGCTGTTACTGTTGAGGAGACGATTACGGCGAGTTGTTGTTCGCGGTGCGGCCATTATCCTTCTCCTGCCACGAATACTCTCGGTTTCCATGGTGGAAGATGCTAATTCGGTCAACTGTCAGCGGCTTCGCCTACCGCTCGTACAACGCCAAGGAGCAAGGCTGCGTCAGTACCCTACGTTCAGCGGGACGACGCGCGTTGCGGCGAGGGCGGGCGGGCTATACGGCTCGAGCGACTACACGATTAGTACCACGGCGTCCGGCACACTGGAGATGTGGGCGCAGCCCATTACGATTATGATCAGGAGAGTGATCTGAGCTTGTACACTACGGCGACCTCGTCCGGATCTTCGTACACATCTCCACGTACCATAGCCGGTACTCCGTCCCGAGGCGCGTCCGAAGGGGCTGGGACATCATCCTCAGATGGGCTCTCGGGAGGTGCGATTGCGGGTATCGTGGTTGGAACTGTCGCTGGGGAGCTGATGCTTCTTGGGCTTGCTTTTATATTGTGGCGGAGGTGGAGGGTGAAGGTGCAGTCTGAAAGCAATCAGAGCATTACGCAGGGAGGTCTACTGGGGAACGTATATGGCAGGAAAGTGGCTGGGGCGATGTCGGAGATGAGCTCTGCAGGCGGGCATCCAAGGTCCGAGCTGGATGTGAATGCCGGCCGGGGAGAACGCGGGATGGCTGAATTAGAGCGACAGTGGCATAGCTGTCTGTACGTTACTCGGGACATGCGTAAAGGGAGGTCAAATTTGGAGCCCTATTTACCTGGAATTGTGAGCATGTTCGCGAAGTGCGATTGCCCGGTGTCAGTCATGCGCCAACGGTATCGCTCTTGGCCTCCGTGTAGGGAGAAGTGCTCCAAGGGGGGAGGGGTCTCCATCGGTAAAGGCTCAGTGGGAGCTGGATCATGGCAGCCATCTTGATTGAATTCCGGCGCAAGGGGTTCAAATAGTTATAGGAGAGGATCTGGAGGATGTGACGCTTAGTTTTTAGCTAGTATCCAGCTTGCATGTGTACCCTGCAAGTACCTGTATGATCTGATGCGCCCTGCAATCTGCCAAAGTCTAAAGTCTAAGTCAGTATTTGCGATTAGACTATCAGGTTGTGTGATACCTACCGTAGGTATAAACAGGTCCTTTGAGTTGCTGGGATGACATCCAATATGTTCCAATAGGTCCGCAAGTGATCTCCGGGAAAACAAGGAGTAACGCAGAAAATAACATTTTTGGCATTGTCTGCTTCTTTCATGGCGTGAGTTGGCCTTATTGAGAGTCTTGGATGAAGGTTATAGCGGGATATCAATCCTTAACAGTGCCATTTAAAAAAGGCCGATTTAGAAAGGTCTTGACCTAGCCACCACCACAGACTTCCCAAAGACGATTCAGAGAGCAGACACTACGTCCAGGAAATTTCCTTTTGCCAATACGGTTGGGTCTCAAATCGATGAGTACAACCGGAGCAGTAAACCCAGTGCTTCGGACTAGGCCCACGAGGCCCGTTGGCAAACACATCAAGCATGAAGTCTTTGGTGTGGATGCCCATGTACACCGCGTTATGGACCAGGTCGTCTAGGCCCATGTGTTTGCCGCACTTCGAGCAGACCTCGCGGTCCTGCGCCATGATATTGCCACGGAGCGTAATCTTGGAAGCTACCATAAGACAAATCCGTCAGCGAGCGAAGCCAGGCGCGAGGAAGAAAACCGGACATCTACCTTTGACTTCGAGCATATCTGCAATGTGTGAGCGCTCGCTGTCAGTAAGGAGCCAGCGGTAGCCTTTTTCGCCATTGTCACCGGTGATCACCTCCGAGGGACGGGGGACGTCCATTTGACGGGGGTGGGCTGGGAGGTTGAAATCCATTTCTTGAGTTGGGGAATTGGGTGTGGCTCTGAGTATGGAAGATCTTTGTATATACTTCTGTGTGCTGGATAATGAAAGAAGTTGGGAGATTTGGATCTTTGTCAAGGTATTTATATTGCAGAGGGCGAAGAATGAGTCATATGACAAGGTCTGAGCAGTTCCGAGCATCTCCTGATCATGCAGATTGATTAGACTGGAAGTGCAGCCTAAACTTAATATACAACAACTGCAGCACAGAACCTTAAAAGCGGCTGCTCCGGTGGATGGATATAGCAGCCGAGTAAGGTTCTGTATTTAGCCTTTACAAGCTCACCTGCAAAAGGTTGGATCGCAGGTAGAGATCGGCCGAAAAGACGCGGTGATAGCCAGATGATTCTATCTTCTTCGCCGAGTATGCTCAAACAACATGTTCCAAAGGAGGGAAAACGGTTCTAGCGACAGTCCATGAAAGCTGTTAGCATACCGCGATCCAGCCTTAGAATACCACAGATTAGCTATCCACGAACCATCCTCTGAAAGGAATATAAGGTTCCCACCAACCCGAGCAATCCGCAAGTGACACCATTATTATCGCTCATGGTAGTCAATGTAATGGGCCATACGTGTGCCCAGGACGTGTAAGAATGTCACAGCTGCAAGAAAGAAAGGGTATATCCCTGGTCTGTAACCGTACACAGGTACTAGTCAAGAAGTGGGTATGCCACTGGAAGAGCAGGCTAACTCTTGAGATGCTGTGATCTCCGCCAGACCTCCGCGGTTCAAGGACATCACGTAGTGCACGCTCATTGGCAATTAAACACTTGGCCTCCATTAATAGGACCGTTCAGTTACTATAGAGAGGAAAAAAAGAGTGAATAACGCCTGTGATGGTGTTACTAGGAGAAACCCCCCGCACATGTAATAAGCAAATCCACCTGCTGGCCCAGAAACCCTGCAGCTCTTCTAGCTCCGTGGAATTTCGCGACAATTCTTGCTGTGAATAAGGCCTACAGAAGGAAATTACGTAAAAGATGGTGGTTATTATGTCAGTCATCATCGACCTCAGCTTTCACATCAGATGCTTAAAAAATCAAAAAGCTTTCACCCCCAAAAGTTAAGTGGTCAAGGTATGGTCCTATCGGATAGTACTCCGTAAGAAAAGATGACAATTGGATAACCACATGTCCGACATAGCATCACACAGGGATAGAGGGGCGAGGAACCTGAGCGCCTGATATTAGTGTTCTGGGCCCCTGTGTAACCAAATAACATCGGGCGTGAACTTGCACACCAAGCGCAGGCAAGAAAGTGCACGCAAAAAACTTATAGCACCCCGCATTTGACCTTTTGGAATGCCAAGTAAGAAGACCCTTTTTTATGACAATGTTGTGCACAATGTTGTCCTGGCCTGGGTACTCGCGTGCCCCGAGTGGACCTGTCCGTGTGTATTACATTGGCCTTGTGTTGCCGTGCACTACGTTTACCCAAATAAGTGGCCCCTCACCAGACACGGGACGGCAAAGCTAGAGTGGCCTGCACATCATCACAAATCAATCATACTTGATTCCGCCACTGGGCTGCTCTGATTGCCGGCGACGTTGGCAGAAAGCTGAATTACATACAGGGACCCAAGTATCCTAAGCGCTCTCGACAAAGCTAGAACCCAAGGCACCAAATCGCCAACGGCAAAAAGCCAGAGATAAAGGAGTGGCAGGCTAGCTAACTACGTTTGAAAGCAGCAAGTTCCCTAAACGTGACACGTTCAGCGACTGGATGCTGGAAGGAGCTGAGACCCCTAGATAATCTCGATGAAGCCCTCTGATGACGTCCAGGTGAGGGACTTCAAATGCACACGGGGCCGCCATGAACCCTAGGTAGTAGGGCTCACCACTGACGAGGCCAATAGATCTGGGTCTGGAAGCGGTTCGAGCAGCGCGAGCAGAAGACAACGTGGGGAGGGCTCTGACCCTTGGGGCCGTTATTAAGGATGTCAAGCATAAAGTCCTTGGTATGGATTCCCAGATAGTAGGCGTTGTGGATAATGTCGTCAAGGCCAGAGTGCTTGCCGCAGCTCGAGCACACCTCGCGATCTTGGTACAAGATGTTTCCTGTCCACAGGATCTCTGATTCTAGAGTGGGTTAGTAAAGGGCTTGTCAGGCTTGAATGGCCAAAAATGCATGAACGGATGCAGGACGGCTGAAGGGGAAGGAAGGGGTCAGATTGGTAAGTACCTTGGACATCGAGCATGTTCGCGATATGGGCGCGCTCGGTCTTGGTAAGGAGCCAGTGGTAGGCCTTCTCACCGTCGCTGGTAGTAACAGCTTCCGACGGGGGAGGGGTGTCCATGGGGAGGTTGTGGAGTGGGAGGACATTGACAGTCGCCATCTCTCAAGTTGAAGCTGGGCTTTTGATTTGAGATTCCTTGGTGAGGAAAGTAGAATTGAAACCTGAGTACTGATTGCTGGAAGATGGAGGACGGAGAGAGAACTTCGAATCCTTTTATGCCGCAGATGGTGGACAAGGCAATCGTTTACACCAAGCGCTAGCAGAATATCATTGGTAGGTCCGATTTGTTCCGAACATCCCGTTTACTGCACATCGGTGCGCTTTGACTGGTGGTGAGCTATACTGGCTGGTTGGGTGGGCTTGGACAGCTGCCGGTGCTCCCATGGATAACCCTGTTAGCTCCAAGAGACCGGCACACAAGTCAGATCCAACATAGCGCTTGGATGGATGGATATCGCATCCGAGCCATTTACTTGCCTTTACAGAGGTTCAGACGGAGGTTGGTGGAACAAGCACTATGACATGCTTGCCAGGACGTTCATCTCCTCGCTGTCCTCCACCCACGACAGTCGACCATCAGGATCAATTAGACTTGTCTGAGTGACATATCTCGGGCAAGCGCTGCAATGAACTTCATGCAAGACCCCAACTTGGCAACTATATCCATAACTATCAATAGGTGAGCTACCTACGATCGTAGCCCCCATATCTCTTCGTTCGAGCCCCGCCAGTTTGATTTTGCCAACAGCGTTATTTTGAACACGACCGACATACACAAGCATACCCTATTATGCTGGCATGCACTATGCATCACGCGTCCCCTCAGCTGAAGCAATGCGCGCAGATCAATTGGAATTTGAGATCATTCAAAATTGGGACCAGAACCGGCCAACTCATCGCCGGTCTTGAAGATGAACCTCGACGCCGCAGGTGATGCCGGTGAGCTACGTACCTTACTACTTTAGGGCTCTACAAGCCTTCTGTATCCTTCCTCATCTCAGACGAGGCCACTGCGCCATTCCCTCTACAAGAACCATAGCACTCTTTGACCGAAATTCTGCCAATCTGCCCAATGCCGAAGAACATTATAAACGTGACTGTGCGGGGTCCGATGCTGGAGATGATCACACTTGCATACATCCTCGCGGTCCTGACCATTGAAGACTATTGTTAACCGGACTACAAAGCCGGTTGGGGAAGCTCTGCACGCCTGTCTAAGCCCCAATACCTTTGTTCGAAAGGGAAATGGAAGGCAGAAGACCATCTGATCAGTTCACATGACCCTAACGAACCAGTCCCTAGAATAACCACAAATGGGCCACTGGGATCCCTCCGGGCCTTGCGGGAATCGTCGTGGCTGCAGGGATAGAAGGATGTTCCTGGTTTCGGACCATCCAACAACATGAACCAAGGACGAACTATGCCACTAGAGCAGAGGCATCGCTAACTCCGGGCCAGGCCTGGTGGCGCCTGGGCTCTACGGGGCACTTCGGGTAGAATCAGTGCGCCTTCACGGTACGATGGTCCACACGCTTTCGGTGCCCATTCGTCCTCTTGGGATGGTTTCCTTGGGCCACAACAGTTTGAGGAAACTGGGAAAAGCTCAGCGACGATTGAACACGCGGCCTGGAATGACAGGACAAGTAGATCACTTTACGGGAAAGTGAACAATGTGAGCTCGGGATAGAGTTACTACACAAAGGCCCTAATGCACCCTACGTAGAATCCAATTGCCGGGTCAATCCCGCCCCCGCGGCGGTTCCTACACGACGTACACTGCCGTATTCGCTGCTTGAAATCATGAGCCCTGCATCCTATCTCACAGTCACAGCTCTTTTCCCACGTTCGCACTTCCTGAAGCCCTCGCACGATCTCACTGTTCCCTCATGGTCAGGCCCCAATCTTTCGTTCCTCGTTCACTGCTTTCTTCAGCATGCGTTCTATCTCTTCGTTGCATTCCTCGTCGTCGGGGCAGACCCAGGATAACCAATACGTAATGGCTAGCTCTCTCTGGTCAGGAGCCTCACTCCTCTCGAGGGAATCGTGAAAGAACCGTGTGGCACGCCAGTAATTCTGGGCATAAAACCTTAACCGCCGCAGGCCATACTCGTAGACCACCTTCGGCGAATAAAGGAAATGCACCGCTGTTAGCTCATGGTTGTCTTCCCGACGGCCGTTGCTTAACCTTTTCCGGCCCCAGCAATGCGCGTCCTTATCCATCAAGGATGTTGCTACAGACGTCGGTCAGTGTCTGCCAATTGGATCTGGCCGGGTCTGACATTCATATCTCCCGTCAATTCCCGTCCTAATTGTTCCGCGTCTTTATATTGTTTTTAGTCATAGGAGCGTTCGAACAACAAGTACTCGAGCTTGAGCATCATCTCATCCTTCGCCCTTGTACAATGTTTCCTTGCATTGGTTCAAAATCAACGTCATCACCTCATCGATCTCAAACCATCCAATATCTGTTCTGGGACCAACGATTGGGCAAGCATCCATGCTGATAGAGTTGTCTTCAGGTTCGTTGGACTAAACGTTGCCTTTCCGGCCTCGTACTCTGCGCGAACCCCTCGTGGGGATGGCATATGCAAGTCCTTTCCTCGCGTAGAGATAGAGCTCAACCTTGGTGAATGGACAGCTCTCAGCGCATTTGCATGGGTCGGTCCTCCGGTTTTGATGTAGCGCTCGTACACCATTTGCTGCAGACAGATGGCACTTTAATCCAATTTATCAATTCACGGATCAATGTATGATGGATAAAAACAGCTGCACCCATCATATTGCGCAGGCAACGAGCACTATCACTCCTTCACAAACTCCCCCTCCGCCCTCCCAACCATCCCATCCTCTTCGCTAAGCACCCCATTCCCATTCCTCGGAACAACCTGCTCACCAACCAACTCCGCCCGGACCCTCTCTCCCTCATCAATCCGTCCCGGCGGAATGAAAACATCATAGTACCGCGGCAGCACAAATCCCATCAGAATAACCAGCAGCACAATATGCGCGAGAATAAACCCCGTAATCATAAGCGGGTCGTACCGCAATGTGTGGAACTCGGGGTACGCGAAGCTGAAGATTATAGCGAGCACGGGGGCGCACACGTATCGGAGCAGCACGGGCCAGAAGGAGGGGATCTTCCAGTTCTTTTCGCCGCCGATTATGGCATTGAGGTCGCGGCGGATTTGGTTGCCCTGGATGCGTTATTAGCAGAGTGTCTTCTTGTAGGGTAAGGGAACGGGTAGGAGGCTAACAGAGTACGCAGCGAGGTACCAGAACTTGCTCAGGAAGACATTCCGTCCCCAGAATCTCGGGGCTGGGATACTTGGCTTGTTGGCAATCAGGGCTGAGATGATGGCGAAGACGACGTAGACGCCGAAGCCTGCACCGGCGCCGATACCCGGGTTCTCGGTCCCATGCGCCACAGAGACACCGATGATTTGTCCGCCGAAGTACGCGAAGTTGTAGGTCGCGAATGCAGGGAGGCCGGTTTGATCGACCACGTCTTGCCAGCGGTAGACGGTACTCGCGCTGACAACCTCCGACCAGACCACGAAAATGAGACAGATGTTGTTAATCCACCTATCGATTCCGTCGAGCAGATAGAACCCGAACTCCGTGCAGTACGGCAGACACATCAGGAACGAGACGAGGGTGAGCACAGTGACAATAACCGGCCTCGATACCTTCAGCCCACTATCCACAACGAGCGTCGCAACCGCATCAAGCATCACAAACGCCGAACTAAACCCCAGCACAACGAGCGTGAAGAACAGCAGGACAGCCCAGAAGTTCGCGCCAGGCATATGCAGGACCGCCTCGGGGAGGGTCAGGAACCCAACGACGAATGCGCCCAGTCGCTCGCCGTCCTCCGGCCACCGGCGAAGATACCCGACGACGCCGAAGACCGCGAAGGCAGCGAAGTTCTCGAAGAGCACGTTGCTCCCGCAGATGAGCAGGGCGTCCATGACGGCGTTGCTGTGTTTCGCGTTGTAGGATGCGTACGACGTGAAATAGCCGAACCCGATGCCCGTGCTGAAGAAGACCTGTCCCACGGCCGTTTGCCAGACTGTGCCCGAGGCGAGTTGCCCGCCGCGCCAGGTTGCCCAGAGTAATCTTACGCCTTCGGAGGCGTTGTCGAGGGATAGAGAGCGCCCGACGAAGATTATTGTTGTTACGATCGGGAGGCCCATTGTCCAGTATACGACCCGCCCTGTCAATCCAACACCCCGGAATATAGAAATCCAGATGAGGAACCAGATGAATGCGCTCCAGCCCACCGTTTCACCGAGGAGCGAGACACCAGGGTACTCCGTGTACGAGAGGACACGCTTACCATCAGAACTCAACTCCCCAACAACGGGATCAACATTATGAATGACATCGCCCATATAAAACTCATCGATGCGATTCTCCCACGGCAACGGACTCCGAAAGCTATTCCGGAAATAATTCATGATCCACGCCAGATTCACCGTGAAGTACTGCGTCACAATGAAAGACACCAAGATCGGACCCATGCCCACGCCCTTGAGCCTTCGATTGATGTTGTTGAACGCAATCACCGTCCCCCCGCGATATGCCTGCCCGATACTGATTTCGAGGATGAGCGCCGGAATCGCGACGAAGAAGACGGCCAGGAAGTACGGGATGAACCATTGGAGCCCGTAGTTGTTGTAGACCACTGACGGGTACCGGATTAGATTCCCCTGGCCCGCGCACCCGCCCATTGCGGCGAGGAGGAACGCTGCGCGCGAGGGCCATTGGTCGCGCCCGTCTTCGGATTGTTTGGGCGGTGGAGCGAGCCAGGAGGCTGCTTTTCTGAGGTATGCCACTACCATCGTGGTACTTGTGGGGGGCGATAGCAAAGGAGGTCGTGGGCAGGGAAGAGCCGGGTATTAAGTCAAAATCAAGCGGCGGTACCAACGTCACTCCAGATCGACTTGGCAGCAGAGCACACCCCGGTAACCCGGTTAAATATGATAACGCCAATTACGACGCCAAGGGCCGGGGTTGCGTCGAGGAGTGGGCACTGCATGATGCTGGCCTGTTATGGTGGCGTTTAGGGCTGCCAAGGTGGGGGTTGCTTGTTAGGGCTGGCTCGGCGGGCCCAGTCTCGGGGAGAGCGAGATTGGCTGGCTGTGAAAACTCTGTGGCTATGGGATGGTGGATAAGATGCGAATGAATGAGGTAGCCTTTGCCCCTTATGAGAGGCAAGGTGATTTAATTTTCGAGCTTCATAACCCTCGGTTCTACTTGCATGTACATGGAGAGAAAGGGGCGCTGGTGGCATCGGCCACCCCGGCGCCAAGACTCCGCCCAGCCGCGCCCAGCCGCCACGATCGCACGCAAGGGGAGCTTGAGAAGGCGTTATCAATGTCGATATGTTTCTCAATTGGTGGAGTAAGGTCAGTGCGAGATCATGCAAGCATCGCGGACCACATGGCAGTCCCGCCTGATCGGGTCGATGCGCTGCAGTTCCAGCCTTCTGCGGTTTCCGCGGGGTGGTCTAGAGCGTTTTACGTACGGACAGGAAATCATCAGAGTCAGTGAACTATGACTCGGAGACTCATTGTTTCAACAAAGGTTGTTTTTTCTGAGAGGTCCTCCCTTTCGTATTTGACTTTCTCCATGTGTCGATCCTACTACTCCCTGACAGTGCGCCATTGTGCATGATACACCAACAAGCCACTCGCGGAAGGCGTCGGCTGTGATCAGCTCGATCTGGTACTTGGAATAGATCGGGGCCGGGGGCCTGAGGCGGACATGGTTTCAATCCATCCACTTGCATGGTAGGGTCAGCTGGGAGGTTCCAATTCCTGCGCGCCGAAGTATGATTGCAGTAGAGAGGTCGCAGGATACGTACGTAGAGTGCCCCATAGTGCTTCTAATTGGTCATCTAAAAAGAGGCTCCAAGTACTTGGGTGGCTTACAGAACGGTATATATCCACACAAAGCAAATGGTGGTCTTCAGATACTTGATCAGGAATTCCGTTGAAATGAAAACTACAAAGGCAGAAGCATAGGCCTCATAAGTATGACCTTGAAGGCCATCGGCATACTGATAGAGAATCCAGACCCCTTTGCAACCTCTGAAGCCCGCGACTGCTTGGTGATTGTTGTCCATGTAGAAAGAACTATGCCGTGCACAGGATGTTCCAATCAGTAATTCCACCCGATCCAGCTCGACCAAACATGATAGACTCAGGCTTTTCGAACCCGTTTATGCTTTCTCTCATCGTTCAAGGCCGTTGGCTTTTGTAGCTTTTGAAGGAGGCCTGAAATAAAAGACGACGAACAGGCCACATTTTAACGCCATTACCCAGGCATGCAAGCCATATTTATCAGCGTGATCTGGATTTGAACCAGCGTCAAGGAGTAGCTCCGCGACCTCGTAGTGTCCCTTCTCAGCAGCGTAAAATAATGGCGTGCGTCCCATAGAGTCTTGCCTGTCGATAGACCGATTTCCCGGTAGCGAGAAGATTAGGGTCATGAGCCCTCCCATGGCGAGCCGATTTTTGCAGCGGATGCAATAATCTCACCGGCGTCGAGCTCGCTCAACGCCTTCATAAGAGAGGGATATTGCCGATTGAGAAGGATTTCCACAGAATCCCTGACCGCAAGATTGCTCTCGGCGATGTAGAGTAAGGACGCAATTAACTCGATTTGATTTTCGGCTCGGGCGAGAAGAAGGGCTATAACTTCGGCACCAATCCAGGAAATGATGACTTCTGACTGCATCCCGGAGATGGCCAGATAGATATGTCGCCCGCGATCTGCACTTGTTATCTTCTCGCTATCCTCGTCGCAGTCCAAATTGACTGCCAATGAAAGCATTGAATTTCTTTCTTTCACCAGCATCATTGTCCCTTTAGAAAACGTTACCTTCCCACCCTCTTCAACTCGACCAGATGCAGCTGTACTTATATTTATCATGATATGAGTGGAGTAGGGCCCCAGGTAGAGAGGTCACATTTCTGGTCTTCTCCATGGATGTGTCGCAAAAGAAATAGGCGAGTATTTTGTCTTCATCTTGGAAGAACGGTGTTTGCGCCAGCTCTTCGACCAGCGTGATCGCCATTGTTGACTTTCCGGTGCCGGGGTTCCCATGAAGCCATAGTATATTTCGGTCCTCTCGGTCATTGGCCATCCCAGAGCCCTGGCCGAGCCAATGCTTCATTTCCTCGGTATCAAGGATCTGGCTACAAGTACCGGCAACACGATCCCCCCTCCGTCGCTTCAAGCTGTTGATATGGTCACTGGCGTCGGTGCTGGAGACCTCGGGAGGCTCCGCAAGCATCCCAGCTCTTTATCGGTAAACTCTGTACTTAGGATCATCAGCAGACTGGTCACGAACAAGTTAGTTCCAAACGTACTCTGCCTTTAACGTTCGCGGAGCTCAGCCACGGGGACAATGCTCAGGATCTGCTTAGCATAGGCGGCAGCAACAAGGGCAGCGTATCCCTGCCACTGTTTATTCTTATGTGAGTCGCAATAGTCCGAGATGCCCCGGATGACAAGTGAAGCGCGTTCTTCCATGATTCCTGCAGCCTCCATCTCGAAACATATGGCTCCAAGATCACGCGCGACCTTATCACGGATATTTAAGTCCTTAATGACCTGGTTTCCGGACGCAACAGGGCCATAGTGAATCATCAAGCCGTCGCTAGGACGCACGGGTCGCTTGAGAAGGTTGCTCTGGTCACAAGCCGACCACTCAGCATGGTCTGACTCATGGTCATGACCAATTTCAAATAGCCAGTCGTGCTGTGGTCGTCGAAAGAGCGACTGTTCTTGTGTCGCTCCTGCCCTTTCAAGTGCGTTGCGTACGCTAAGCCTAACCTGACCTGACCCCCCGTCGACGTCGGATTGCTGTCCAGCTCAGACATGGCCTTTAGTAACAGGGAAGGCGGTTGACCGAGCGAGCCTGTCTGTTTGAACACGCCGTTGGGCAGCGATTTGCCAGAATCGTACTGAACAATAGCACCGAATGCGCCGGTCGGCTTGCTCACCACGACATCTCCCAGACGCACGTCAGCCATTGTCGGCACCCCTCCTCCGATGCCAACCATAAGGCCGAACCTGATATTTCGAAAGGTGGAGTTCATGTGTGCTACGGCAGTTGCGGCTGACGTCGTCCCATACACACCGGTTTGGAGACATAGAAATACAACACTATGCCGACCAATTCTCCCAAGGGTGTAGATATTATGATCGCTTGCGGGTTGAGAGTCAAGAGGGTTGTGAGGCTCCTTTATCATCAACTTCGCCGCCGCCAGCTCCAGTGGCAAGGCGCAAATCCACCCCACTGTGTAGGCATCGGGGGCTAACCGCGGGTTGACCATAGTATGTTTATAACTCGTAACGCGCAGGAAATAGGGAGTGCAGGATCCAGTACTGTTAGAGAAAGTGTGGAAAGTTATCTCATCGCCAGCCTTCGAACCTTTGGTTGAACATGGAGATAATCGCCCAGTTTCAGGACGACGTCGAGATGAGGGAGCAGCCTTGGGCTGATTGGGCGCAATCTTGGGAGGCTGACTCTCCGCATTTCCGCAGAGCGCTGGCTGGGATTATTGAGGCCAATCGAATTGACCGTCCATTACGAAGGGTCCGCTGCAAACTTGGGTTTACATTTGTTTATTTCCGCAAAGGGTTCCAGGGGCATGATCCTTGAAGTCTTGGACTAACAGGCTAACACTTATTTAGCCAGAGTATAATACCATCTGTTTGCTGGAAGAGTCCTCTTCGGCAATGAACATCGTGATTCGAGTTCCCTCCTTGCATATAATGTGGGAAATGGGTTGCGTTGCCTGGCCCGCATGGATATCTTCTGTGAAAGCTTGTGGTTTGAAACTAGGTATGGTGGATATATCCCGATATATGGCTTAACAAGTAGCCTGCTTGTTGGCACTGCCTGAAGATCTACAGACGCTGACTGGCCGGTAGGCAGACCCATCTAGCATGGCGGCCTGGTAGTCTGGTCGGGTATTGAGAGTGAAACATTGCGTAGAGCGATGTCGCCGACACTGGAGGCTGCTTTATCAATCTCCAGTACAAGCTGGTTGATTGTGTCATTTCCATTATTTCCGCAGCAACATTTCAGGTTGTGTGCGCGAGTAGGAATATTTGTATTGGCCACTTAAAGGACACCCGGTATATCATGCGATTCCTGGACCTTGTTGGTTGAAAGCTATAGAAGAAGACCCATGGATAGTATAAGACCGAATAAAGACATCATCAACCCAGTAATGTGACAATCGTGCATGGAGTCCCCCGCTGGATCAAAGCCACTGGACCTGGATCGATCATTCAGCATCCATTTACGGGACAACCTCCCTTCTGACACTTCCAAAAACACCATACTTATAATCATCCTCGCGTTGAGCACCAACAAGAGCCAACAACCTCCCAGTATAGTCCGCGAGCGGCACGCGCGCCTGCGCCTCCGGGTCCCTGGGCACAACCTCCAAGAAGCCATTGTCAGGAGTTGGTACAACGTCTCCTGGATTCCGCGGAAAGTCAAACAGACGCAGCAAGTGCATGCGCCACGAATCAAAAATAGGCATCCCCAGTCGCCGCCATGGCCGGAAGTCAACCAGAGCGGGGGAAACGAGTCGCCGGCCCCGAGAAAGAGCCGAGCTTGCTTGGGAAACCAACATGCATTGTCGGGGCACGGATGTCCGGCGCTCAGCTGTCAGCTGCCAGGTTTCTGTCCCTTTGGTCTTTGTCGGAGGACGCGGAGGCGCCCAGACGCGCGGTGGGTTGCTGGATGGCGGCAGATCAAACAATGCAAAAAAGGGTGGAGGTGTTTCCTCCGGGAATGTCCATGCGCCGCGAGAGGACTCTTGGCCTTCTGGATCATGAGCGAGCTGGCTCTGTTCGTGTTGAAAGGGATAGTGTGCATATGTTGGTGTAAGGCCCAGGTCGGAAAGGAGGGCGCCAGTTGTCCAAATCCTTTCGGCTGCCGCCGCGGGGTCCTTCAAGATCCAGCTAAGATATTCGTCAAGCCCCTGGATTGAGGTGTCATCCCACCGCCAATCCCCCACCGCTGCTTTTCGAAGGGAGGAATAGTGTTGCAGGTACCAAATGGAAGAGTAAACGCGGTACTCCTTGGTGAACAAAAAGGGCTTGCGGGCCTCCCGTATGTGATTGGAGACTGATTTCGCGTGGCCGAAACAAAGTAAAGGCCAAAGCGCATGTTAATTATAGGTCCCGGCTCCTAGTCACGTGAGCTTTATTAAAAATTATGTAAAATAGTAAAATTACTTAAGGTTATTATAATTAATTTAAAAAAAGTATTATTATATAACTTTTTTTTACTATTTAAATATTACAGTATTAAGTTTACTATAATTAATTTAAAAAAAGTATTATTATATAACTTATTTTTACTATTAAGTTTTTAAAATATTATTATTTAATATTTTTAGCCTTACTTTTTATTTTTAAATACTATATAACCTATATTTATAAAATTAAATATAATATTAATTACTTACTACTTTAGCTATAATTATTAATTTTTAATAATATAATTTTAGCATGCCATGGGCTATAAGCCTACTAGTATTTATAATAAATATAAAAATTAATAAGTATTTTAGGTTTACATGGCTTTATTTATATATTATTATTATTAATTTAGTTTTAAAAAAGTAAAAAGCGCTTTATTATAATTACTAACTTTCTTAATTTACTTACTTAATACCCCTTTTTTAATAAAATTAACTTAAATATATAATAACCATGCCTATTATAGCTAAAATTAAATTATTAATATTATAATATATATTTATTTAATAACTTATAATAAGTATAATAATATTATAAAAGTATAAAATAATAATATACCTAGTAAGTAACTAGTTAAGTAACTTATATAATTATTTTTTAATAAACCCTAACCTTTTTATTTACCTTTAACACGCCTGTTATTACTTATAATTTTTATTATATTTATACCTTTTTTTATGCTTATAATAGCTATATTTTTATTATTATTTATACCTTGCCTGCTAGCTAGGCGCCTGTAGCTAGCTATTATTATTAATAAAAATAATATTAAGTTAAATATTAATAGCTTTACTACTACAAGCTTTTAATTAATTATTAAAAATAAATTACCTTTACCCTTATAAATTATTAAAATTAACTCTAGCCTTTTTATATATATAAGCCTAGATTACACCCCTTTATTATATTTATTTTTTTTTATTAATTTTATATATTTAATTATTATAAACTATAATTAAAAGCTATTAAATAACTTTTACTACTAGCTTAATATATACTAGCTAAAAATATATAGTTATTATTAAAAATAATAGTTTAATATAAATTTTTTCAAAAAAAATAATATTTACAAGCATTACATGTTAGCTAACTAAAACTAAAAAATTTTAAATTTAGTTTATAAAATAAAATAAATTCTGGTAATATTTTTTCTTACCTTTTAAAATTAATATAAATTAAGAAAATACTAATTATAAAAGTTTATATATTTATTAAGGTTTATTATATTTAAAATTATTAATATTTATATAAAGGCTATATTATTAACTTTTTATAAAATACTAGTTAAGTATATAAATAGCTCTTACTTTTGCCTAAAAAACTTAAAATATTAATTTTATAATTATTTAATTTTAATATAAATTAAAAAATATATTTATAATTTTATTATAACTTTAAAATATAGCGCTAGGTAATTAAATAATAGTTAAATTATTTTTAAGTAAATTATTTACGGTATTAAAATATAGTTAAAAATAATTATAACCTTATATAATTATTAAAAAATAAATTAATTAATTATTTTATTTTAAACTAAAAGCTGGCTAGTAAGCTAATTACCCTAAATAATAGTTAATAAGTAAACCTTAATAATATATAGGTGCTTAATATAATTATAATACCTAATTTACTTATAATAATTATAAAGCTTAAGGCTTTATAAGTTATAATAAATAATATTATTAAGTTAGTATATAATAACCTTTATTTAACTTTTTTTTATTTTATATAATATTATTATTTAAGTTTAACTACTTATAATAATTACTATTTTTAATGTTTTTTACCCTTTTTTTTATAATAATATAAAGCTGGTTATAACACGCCCGCGCGAGGTATTATTTATAAATTATATTAAATACTTACTTAAATATAAAAGTGGCTATTTTATATAATATCCCTAGTTTTAATATATTTACTTTAATATAATTTATTATTAATAAATAAATTAATAAGCTAGTTTTTATATTTATAACCGCGTGCCTAGCTAGTAAAATATTTTTATAAAAAAGTTATAAGTAGCCTTTTAATTAAATATAGCTAAATTATTTATATTACTAAGTTTTATTACTAATTTTTTTTAAAACTATTTATAGTATATGGCTATTTTAGTATAATAAGAAAAACGGCTTAAAAGCCATGGTTAAAAATATTAGTAAGTAGCCTGTTTTTTATTACTATATATATTATTTTAACTACTTATTTTTTAAATAGGCATGGCTTACTTATTTTTAATATTTTTTATAGCTAATTTATACTAAAATAACTTAATATAATAATTATTTAAGTATAAAGCATGGCGTAATAATATAAAGGTTATTTATAATAAATTATATAATATTATTTATAAAATAACTTTTATATTATTATAATATAGTTTTATTACTACTATTATATATTTTTTAATATAGTTATTAAGCCTAAGTTTAATATTATAAATAATTAGTCTTGCTATAAATAGCAAGGTTAAAATTTAATTTATAATTATAATATATATTAAATATAATCCGCCCCTATTTTTAATAACCTTTAATAATTTAATAAGTTATAATAATTATTTAAGGCTTATTAAGGTATATATATTATAACTATAAACCTTTTTTATATATAAATTATTATTATTAATATAAATTATAAGGCTATATAGCTACCCTAGTTTTAATAAAAAAATTTACTTACTTATTTTACATAGGTTATAAACTATATATTATATTATTATTATAGTATAAATTATTATTAATAAAAAAATAAGTAAACTAAGTAAGTTATTTATTATTTTTATTTTTTTATAATAACACGGCGTGATTTTTAATTAATAAAATTAACTAGTAATATATATTACTATTTTTTTAGCTTATAATAATATAATCCTAAACATGTTTAACTTAATTATTAGCTTAAAATAGCTTATAAACTTAAATATAGTTATATATACTAATAAGTACTTTTTATTTTATTATATTACTAAGTATATTATAAAGCCTAAAAAAATAAAGTTATATAAAAAGGTTATAAGATTAGTTTTTAAGCATGTTAATACGTGCTATTTTTTATTATTATTAGTAAAAAAAATAATAAATACCCTAATTATAAAGTAAAATTAATTTATATAAAAGGTTTATTATTATTTATTAGGCTTATTACTTTAAATATTAAGCTATAGTATAGTTATTATTTTATATTTTATAAATTAAAAATAAAATAACCTATTTTTACTACTAAATGCAGACTATAATAATACTAGTAATAAAAAAATAGTATTAAACAGGGTTTAAATATAGTAATAAAATATATATAATAATTATTAAAGCTTATTAATATAATATTATTATATTACATATATTATTATACCCTATAGCCTAGAGTATATAAAAAAGTTAAAAATAAAATAAAAAATTATATTATTTATTACTACCTAATTTATAACTAAGTTATAGACCTAAAAAACTTTACCTATATTAAGTTAATACTTTACTATTTATTTATTAAAATAAATAACCTATATATAATTAATAAATTAATATTTAATAATTTTTATAATATATATAAATACTACCGCGAATACCACGGCTATAAAAAAATAATTATATATAAAATAATAAAAATATAAAAAATAAAATTAATTTATTAACTTAAAATAATAATACTAGCTTAATTACTAAGGTACTTTTTTAAAAGGCTATGGCAGCTTAGCAGCCTAGCTATAATAATAATTTTTTTATAAAACTTAATAGCCTGGGCCAGCGTAATATTAATTAATAATATAATTTAACTTAGTATATAAAAAAACCTGGTTTTAGTTTAAAATTTTAAAATTTAGTAAAGGTAAATTACCTAGTAAATATATTAATTTATTTATTAGCTTATTTAAATAGCCTAAAGGTTAAGTAATACTAGCTATATAATATTATAATTAAATATTATAAAGGTATTTTATAATTACGTGGTTTACTAGTTTTTTATATAAATAATAAATAATAATTTATTTTTATATATTTATTACCCTTACTAAGGTAGTTATTAATTAATTTAAATAATAAGGCTAGTACTAGTAAATCTTATGTTATTAGCTTGTTATTTATAATCCTAAAATATATAGCTTTTTATATTAATAATTATAAGATTTTTATTATTATACAGGCTGCTTTAATTAATATTACCATGTATAATATTAATAGCTAAACCTTATACTTATTATTTTAATTACTAATTATATTAAAAGGCAAAAGGGGTTATAATTATTTATAGCCTTTAGTATTATTAGCCTTGCAGGTAAGTTTTTATAACATATTATATTTAATTATTAATAAAAAGTTTATAATAAGTTTAAAATAGCTATATTATATTAACTAATAATATTATAAAATCTTTTTAAATTATAAAGCTAAACCCTTTAATAATTTAAATATTATTTTAACTAGGGACTTTTACTAGCTACCTTTAGTTAGCTAAAGCCCTTTTTTAAGGCCATGTTTTTACTTATAAATAAAAAAAAAAGGCTAGTTAGTATTTATATAATTAATTTAATTTTATTATTAAACTAAATATTATTTATTATTAAACTATAAGCTTTTAAATAGCTTATATATTTATTTTTACGCTAGAGCGCTTAAAAAAAATATTACTATAATAAAAAATTAGGAGCTTTTTATAACATAAGTATAAGCTAAGTTACCTGCAGGTAAAAGTAGTACCTTTATAAATATAATTTATATATATAAAAAAAATAATATATACTAGTATAACTATAACCATGTATTAAACTTTAATAAACCTATAATTATTTTATAAGTTAATTATATTAAATTTAGTGCTATATATATAAAAATAAACTAGGCTAAAAACTTAGCTAAAAAGTTTATAATTTTTTTAGCTGCTGTATTATACTAATATAAAATATTTAAATAAAAAAAGGTTTTATAAATAATATTATAGGCATGTTAGTAAATATTATATAGTTATTTAAAATTATAAATTTTATTTAAAAAATACTACTTACTTTAATAATAGCTTTTAACTAGTATAATAGTTTACATGCTAAAAAAATAATAATTATAATATAATACTAATTTTTTATATAAAATAAAACTTTTATTATTATAATATTATTTATACTTATATATAGTTCCTGGCTATATTAATATATAAAATAATAATTTATAAGGCTTAGGGTGTTATTATTAAGCAGGCTATTTTAAACCTTATTATATATAAAAAGTTTTTACTAAGTTTTATATACATGGTTATATCACGTGTATAATTACTTAAAAAACTATTATTTAAAAAAATTTTTAATTATAACTAGTTAGTTAGCAACCTGTTTAACACTAAAAAATAAAGGTATAAAAATAATTATTTAAGGTATTATTAATATATATTTATTATAATTATAAATAATATATTTTATTATAAAAGCAATAATAATATAAGTATAAATTTAAAAATAAAATAATAATTTAAACTAGCTTTATTAACCAGGGTCTAGCCCTGTAAATATTAATTATTTTTTAATAACTTTTTATTAAACTTATTTAATAAACCAGGGAACTTATCCCTACCTTTTTTTATTTACTAGTAAACCTGCCTTTTTTATAAACTTTATTATAATATTAAGGTATGTTTTAGTAAATGCCTTTTAGGTAATAATAAACGCGTTTTTTTAAATAATTATTATATTAAATAAGTTATAAAATTACTTAGCGTGGCCGTGGGTTTATAATTAGGCAAGAGTTAATATTTAAGTAAATATTTAGTTATTTATTAAGTAGTATTATAACTACTTTATAACACGGTTATTATTTTTTTATTTTTATTTTTATATATTTCTTTTTTTATAGCACGGGCGGTGGTAGTAATATTTTTAATATTAATTTTTAGGCTATTATAATTAGTTACTAGCTTTATAAACTATTAGTTAAAATACTTATTATAATAATTATAATATTTATTTTTAAGGTATAATAATAGTTAGCGCAGGCGCTGGATAGCAACCTATTAATAATAATATAACTTATAAATAATTTATTTTTTTTATATATTAAACATAGGGTGTAAAAAAGTGCTTTTTAATAATTTATACTATAATTACCTTTATATTACTAGGTAATATAAAGGTAGCCTTTAGGTACTTAACCTATAATTTTAAATTTTATATTAATAGTATTTTAACTAGTACTTATTAGTAATAGTTATTTATAACTTTAATATAATTTATAATATATTACATGGCTAGCGCGCTAGGTAATATTTTTATAATAAAATATAAAAATATAATAAATAATATAATTATAAATTATTTTTTATAATAATATATTAAAAAAATAATATAATTAGGTTTAATTTTAAAAGGTAGCTATATTAATATATAGCTTAATATTATAAAGTTAAGTTTTAAATATTATAAAAATAAATAAGGTAATAACTATTTATTATTTATTAAAAGTAAAATATAACTTAAATAATAATAAAATAAAACTATAATATTTAATTAACAGGCTATAAATTATAATAATATACTTTAAGTAAGGCTTTTAAAGTTATTAAGCAGGTAATTTTATTAGTTTAAAGTTAAATAAAAAATATTAATAAACTAAAATAATATTAATACTTTACTAAATACTTACCTTTAAATACTAAATTTTTGCTTATAATTTATATAAGCTATTTTTAATAATATTTATAGTTAATTATATTTAATAAATTATAATAAATTTAAACTTTTTTATTACTAGGGTTTAGCCCTAGGAAAAATAAATTAAAAAAAATTACTTATTTATTATTATTATTATATTTAATACCCTTAAAACTAGCTTTATTAATAAGGTTATTTATTATAAGGGTTATAACATAGGATAGGGTAACTAGCCTGGCTATAATAATATTAAAGTTTATTATTATTATAATTATAAGCTAGTGCAGGCAGTAGGCAAACTAAATAATATATATAAATAAGGTAATAATATTTTTTTTAGCCTTTTTTTTATTTTATTATTATTATTATTATTATTATTACCTAGTATAAAAGCTAAATATATTAGTTAATATACTTATAAGTAAATAAGGGCTATAACTTATATTTATTAATATATTATATACTTAAATTATTTTAATAATAATTTATATAACTACCCTTAAAGTAGCTTAATATAATAATATACTTTATAAATAGCCCGTGGCCTTAGGCGTAATATTTATAAATTATATTATTTTTAGTAAGTATATTAATATATTACTTAATAATAGCTTTTTAGTTAATAAAATAGGTTATAATTTTTTTTATTATATTAATCTTATTAATAGGCTTGCGGAGCACAAGCTTATATTATAAATAATATAATTATTTATAAAGTTTTTTTAAAATTACTAATTTATAGCTTAAATAATTTATTATATAAATAATATAAGTTACTAGTAGCTAGGTTAATATAAAAATAAGTAAGTAAAAAAATAAGTAAAAAAAAAGGTATTATTATTATTACCTTTAATATTAGCTATTATAATAAAAAAAATTTAAAAAATTAGGGGTTTATAAATTATAGGTTTATATAAATAAGTTATATATTATTTATATAATTTATTTTTTTATTATTTTTTAAATACCTTTATTAAATTTACTATTATTATAGTTATTAAAAAAAGTGTTACTATTTAAAATAATTTATTAATAAAAGTATTAAATGTTAAACAGGCTATTAATAATAATATTTTTAGTATTTTAAGCAGGATAAACTTTGTTTTAGCCACGTGTATTACTCCCGGTATTAAAGCTTGCGCCCTAGAAATAACGGGACCTACGTATGGTAGGAACTTCGCACTTGGAGAGAGCAGAGACAAGGTTGTCCTGAATGAGAGCCAGGCAGGCACAAGCTAATCTCTGAGTTCGGGCGGCGAGGTGTAGTATACAGCTTGAGAGCTCTTGTGTATACTCGATTTCCGGCACATTGACAAGATACTTTTGATAGTCATCAAGGCATTGGAACTGGAGCGGAGAAGTGTTGATTAGACTGATACTGTGGCATAATTTCTGTATTTCGGGCAGAGTTGTGATTGAATCCGACCTTATTAGCTCTTGTATAATGGTAGGCTGCGCCTGGAACACGGCCCGGACACTAGGAGATGCAATAAAAACGGTTTCTGCCGCAGAGAAGTCTGCAATATGGAGGATTATCTGTGCAATGAGTTCGGGGGGTAATCGTGTGAAAAGATCCATGGTTGAAGGTTGGGACAGCTTCGGGAGAAGGCGGAAATGTGACCTTGCGGGTCAGTTAGCTTAGTGGCGCTAGGCAGTGATTTAATATTTACTTAATGGTAAATAATAAGGTGGCCTCTGAATAAAAGGTTGGACAGTTTGTGCCCACAAATAGGAAAGTTCGACTCGGTGATGTTGTGGTCAATACTCTACCCGCTGGAAGAATACATTGTCCTGATATCATTCCAAGGTTGGATTACCCAAGGCTCAATTTCTCACTTTCATTGAAAGACATGTAGCTATGTACCATTGTCCTCCTACGCGATGTCTAGGGACATTTTCCCTCTCGCACCACATCACCTAATCCGCCAGGCCAGGCCGACATATACCCTAACTATTCCAGCTATCACATCTTCCCAATCAGCGCCACCCACCTAGCCCAATAATCAACGCCCCCTGGTTCCCCAGTTGATGGTCCGTAACTATCACCATCTGGCGTGGGCACAATTCCGCCCGAACCCCGAACTCCCTCGCACAGCCCGAGACGGTACATGCGCCACGAGTCCCAGATATACACACCCAGCCGGCGACACGGCTTGAAGTCTGCCAGGGGGTGCGAGGGCGGCAAGCGATCCGTACTGATGGCCGAGGCGACGTGATGGAAGTAGACCCATTGCTGCGGCTGCCATCTCCAACGCTTGGACGCAAGGGCCCACGCCGTTGTAGCTTCGGTGTCTGCGGGAGGCGACGGCGGGGCCCATACATCACTGCACACATCTTGAGCTCCAGCTGGGATCTCAAATGACGGGAAGAACGGCGGGGGCGTCTCAGGCGGAAAAGTCCAGGCTCCACGGGATGACTCCTCGCCGTCCCTGTCTTGCGCCAGGAGTCTCTGGTTATGCTGGGAGGGCCCGTGTCCGTATGTAGGAGCCAGACCGAGATCCGCGAGCAGGGCGGCCGTTGTCCAGAGCTTCTCGGTGTCCTGGCGGCGATTGATTCTATTCCAGGTATTGTACGCGTCTAGACGCTGCATTAAGGGCTCGTCCCATCCCCAGCGTTCTTTTGCTGCTTTGCGGAGGTGGGAGTAGTGCTGGAGATGGTATAGGGAGTAGTATATGCGGTACTCTTCTGTGAATGAAAACGGCTCGCTTGCGGTAACTGTATGCAGTCACTGTGACCTCAGTGCCCATGGCTAACATCAACATCACCGTCCCCCTCGAGAATAACCGCACCATCACTATCACTCCCAAACCGCGATTTCCGGCCCAGACTGTCAGGATCACCAATGATCCGAACCCCTTGAGCATCACGGGCGTCTTCCATCCCCCTGTCACTCGGAGTGTGACTTTGCCGCCCTGGCCTCAGGGCACTGTCATCCATTACCCAGATGACTACTCTGACGACGGGACGATAACAACGATGACGAGAATGACGATCAGAATGACGATGATCAGGACGATGACAATCAGGATGATGACAACCAGGACGATGACAACCAGGACGATGACAACCAGGACGATGACAACGATGACGATGATCAGAACGATGATAATAGCGGCGACGACGACGACATTGACCTCCCCGTTGTCCCCAAAATCACCGTCACGGACGGCCCCGGCTCTCCAGGTTGCGCCGCAAACGAAAACTGCGGTGCCCACTGTACCAGCCCCCTGGACTTCTGCAATTGCTTCATATGCCCGAGTAGCGGCAGTGGCGACGGAGGCTTCGTGGACCCCAACGACCCGAACCCTCCTGACCGACCCCCCGGAGACCCAGTGGATAACAACAATGACGATCCGGACAGCAGCTGCACCGAGACCTCCACCGAGACAAACTACTGGGTGTCGTGCGAGAGCATCGACACGACCTCGACCAGCTGCACGACCACAAGCAGCATGCTGGCCATAGGCTGCGACGTCACGGCTACAACATCGACAACCGGCCAAGACGTCTGCTACACCCTCGATCCTGATCCAGACATGGGCGACAGGGATGGAGGCAGTGACAGCGGTCCGACGAGCGTCAGCGCCACGACCACGGCCACGGCCACTACGACTAAGACCACCTCCACCACCACATCAACTCAAACCTCCCCTCCCGAAGCCACAGCCGCGGACGGCTGCTTCACCGTCGGCGGCACGACCAAGCGCTGCTGGAACAAATGCGACCCGGCCACAGGCTCCCCGATCGGCGGCGACTGGGCTGAGAACGACCCGTGGTGTTACATCTCCGAGAGCGGCAGCGACTCCTACGCCACCTGCCTCCAGGTGTCCGACTGCCCGAGCGATTTCGAGTGCGCTGCTGACTGGGGCTGTGTGGTTCCGCAGGCCGGTGGGTGCGCCGCTCAGGGCGGCTCCACCGGCCTTGGGAATACGTGCTGGAGCAGCTGTGATGAGGAGACGGGCAAGCGCACGGATGACGTGTGGGAGGAGGGGATGCCATGGTGCTGGTTGAGAGGCGACGGCGGATTCTGGAGCATTTGCGATGAGGCCGAGGATTGCTCGGCGGTTTTGGAGTGTGCGCCTGAGTCGTATTATAGGGGTGGTTGTTCGGTTTTTGACAAGGAGTTGGATTTGGATGGGTCGGGGTAGTCTGGAGTACATATTCGCACATCCGCATATTCTTGTTCCCAATATATATGGTATTCGTTTCTGTTGAATATGGTAGTGTCTGGTGTAGCCCTAACCGGGCGGAAAGACCCCCAGCATCTTCTGAAGATTAGCGACCTCCGTCCTCGTCAAGCAAAGACCCCCAATCCCGTGCATGCACCATTTGGCTGCCAAACATGCTCAGCTGGGAAATGTACCTTTGAAGTCGTTCAACAGGCTGTGGGACGTAAGATCAGACAGATTGTTTGAACAACGACTCGTTTCAGTGCATGCGTGATATGCCAAAGGAAAGCTTCATATCACAATGGCAGTGAGTATCATAGCCATAAATATAGCTTGACATAGATGCCTCGCCCATTTATATTCACTTCGCTACCCAGATACCCAGCCATACTTGTGGTTGCTCGGAGCTAGACTGCCAGACCTTGAACCGGTCAATGTTGGCATAATTGAGTTGAAATAATAGGGTAGTTGCAGTATAGAACACAATGGCGCAACCAGGCATACGGAGTACTGAATCTCAAGCGTGCGGCTGCTCACCCACGCTCCTATTCGTATCAAAAAAACTGATTATATATATAGTGTACTGCGCGGAAAGGCGCCGGAAATGCATAGTGTCGAGCAGGAACACATAATATTAAAACACCTCAGCTATTGACTATTTACGACCCGCAAAGCCCATAGCTTTCCAGGTTGAACTCTCCGGATTAGCAAGTAGAAACATACCTAGCTCCTACATAGTTCCAAATCCAGTATAGCTTCAGAAACTCACCAGGGCACCCCTACACCCCAGACCCGCCAAGCCCTAAAAACGCCCGACTCCTTGGCGACAAGGATACCGCGGCCGGATATGCTAGATCAGGTAAAGCCGAGGCGGCCGTTAAGCGACAAGGCATGGGGTGGCATCCTGCCGAGGATAATTAACTTAGTTCTCCAATGAAGCACGAGAGAAAGCGCGATGGTGTGCGCACTGCGAGGGGCCGCAATACCATACCTAGTCTCCTATCTCCTACGCCCGTCAGCGAGGACGAGAGTCCGCTAAGTGCGTTGGTTCCGTATAACGTTCGGCTCGCTATTCATCATACGCAACTAATTGTCGGAGAAAAGCGCAGTGTCTGGAATCGAGACTGCAGAGGACTGGAGTCTGGTTGGTACCTGGGGTCCATGATGGAGGACTGGGTGCCGAATCGCCGGGACGGGCGTGATACCGAGTAAAGTAAAGTAAACTGGACCAAACCCCGGACTTCTCCGGACCCCTGACTCACGAAACACAATGGGGCCCAAGGTACCAAGCAATCTCATTCGGCTCTTGACTGACCAAAGCAGCGTTGCCGACATCCAGCGCAGGAAATACGCATGGACCTCACAGCCCTGGTCTGTCCAACAAGCCACATCGGCCCCCAAAGTGCTTAGTCCGCCTGGTAACATGTGCGATATGCTTACCTGCGCCTCTAATATATTACCACCGATTATCCAAGGTTAATAAACGAGTTGCGGCTTAATCTCCTCCGTACCGTACTCCGGCCGGGGCATGGCAACGTGCATGGGAAGGGTCATAGCTCACCCGCAGCTGGCTAAAGCTCGGGGCACACTGCGGAGTAAGTTCGGGGTTAGGACTAGGGCCGTTTGGGGTCTTGTGTGACGTCAGTGGGTGAATCCTTGCGGAGCGAAAGCCGTCTTGAGCTTGTGGTCGTCCAGCTTGGCCTGTATACTCCGTAGGTAGTACATGGTAACATTGTTAGTCTGTATCCTGGAGTCGCGGACCTTTAGTGCATAGTGATTGACAGGAGAGCGGCAGAGATCATCAGGTCCCGGGCAGGCCATGTGGCTCGGGGAATAATTCCCATCACCGGCCGTCCAGCGGGGCCAAGTCAACTTTGTGGCTGCGGCTCTTGTTCGATCCGAAGGTATGAAAGGGGCTGGAATACTGTAGCGAACGCCCTGGCCGGATTACGCTGGTTAACGGAGGGAAAGCGACAGATACAGATGTGAGTCCTATGTAGACATTAGACTTAGAGCTCGGATTACCTAGCTAGTCGTCTAATGATACCGAAGATCTAGAGCTCTAACAATAACCAAAGGACGGCCACTCAAATCTTATCATATATCATCCATCAACAAATCCATAAAATAAACGCAGTACCGTGCGGACTTGCCTAGCACGATGGGTATAAACATCACTACCTCATTCGACCCATTTACCCCTCTCCTCGTTTACACGGGTACACACTCCCTGCTAGAACGGATATCTACTCCAACCGCACCTCCGTCCCCTTAGGCTCATTACTCTCGTTCGTGCTATCATCACTCTCAAACTTGCCCTCGTGCACATAAGGCCGATGAGCGCTTTCACGCCTGATAGCCTCCTCAAGGTATTCAGGTTTAAGCTGACCATGCTTATCGTACCGGTACGGCTCCTTGATAGAGTGCTGCACGGCGCTCCAGATACCGTCTGACTTTTTGAAAATGGTGTCCATCTCCTCGAGCGAGCGGTAGCGGGTTTCGGGGAAGCAGAAGTACACGACGGGGAACATGAAGGCGTTGCTGTATCCTGTTAGCATCATTGCCCAGATTATGGATAGGCAGGGGACTCACATAACAGCGAAGATGGTGTAGGTGTGGTGGGCGATGTTTGTGAATGCGACGGGCGTGATCATGACGACCATGAAGTTGAAGATCCAGTTCGCGGACGTCGAGAGGGCGTTGGTAGGGGCTCGGATACGAAGCGGGACGATCTCAGCGGGATACAACCAGGTCATACCGAGCCAACCAATGGCGAAGAAGGTGTTGAATACGAAGAGGAAGACAGCTTGCGCGATACCCGCTTGGGTGCTGTCGTAGGCTACGCGGTGGTAGTGTGTACCCGCCAAGATTGCCATTGAGATGGACATGCCGGCGGCCTGAAAGGTTAGCTTTAAGCAAAAACGAATAGAGAGGGACGTACACCGAAGAGCATCAGAGGGCGACGGCCGACTTTCTCAATGATGAAGATGGGGATGAACGCGGCGAGGAGGTACTCGGTACCGTTGGCGGCGGCCATGAGCTTTGCGGTGTTGCCGCCTCCGAGACCAATGTCTGTGTAGATATTTGGGGCCTGCCTTCGTCAATAAACGCTATAGATGTGTCGCTATGGTCTTACATAGTAGGTAATGAGGTTGATGCCCGAAATCTGCTGGAACATCTGGTTGACGTAGGCAAGCGCGACACGGTGGAATTCACGGTACTCGCTCATCTTGAACAGACTGCTGAAGGATCCCTTGTTCATCTCAATAACGGTCTCCTTGATCGACTGCAGTTCGTTCTGGATGTAGGGGTCCTCGATGGGCTTCTCGTTCAGCAGCGACAGGATCTCGACCGCTTCGTCGTCGCGACCTTTCATGACCAGCCAGCGCGGGGACTCGGGGAGGTTCATGATGGAGATGAAGATGGTCACGGCGAACACGATCTGGAAGGCGATGGGGAAGCGCCATGAGACTTCATGGTCGGGGAGAAAGGCAAAACCTACACACTGATGTTAAAAAGAGCCTAAGAAGTGAGAGGGAAGAACGTACCGTAGTTGATCCAGTAGCTCAGACAGATTCCGCCGGTAATCAGCATACCCTCGATCATAACTAGCTTTCCACGATCGTGCGCTTTGGAAGACTCGGACTGCCAGGTCGGAACTGTACTCGTGTTCATGCCGTTCCCGATTCCAGTTACGATACGCCCGACAATCCAGTGAGGAAGGCTGTAGGCGGTGCATTGCAGGATGGCGCCAGTCGTCATAGTCACGCAGCCGCAGAAAATAGTCCTGCGACGGCCGATTGCATTACCGATAAAGACCGTCAAGATAGCTCCAAGGAAACAGCCGAGATTGTACGAGGCGACCGCGATGCCCTGGTTGGTACTGCGCTGCGACTCGCAGGCGGCAAGATTCTCGTCTTGAGGGCATAGGTCTTGAGTGATTTCCGGGAAATACTTGTAGAATGAAGGGAGCTCGAGCAGCCCTCCTGTGACGCCCTGGTCGTATCCAAAAAGCCTGTCGCAGTTAGTCGCAATGTCCGGTACAAGTTAGTGTATGCTGACAGGAAATCCAAACTCCCCAGCGAACTGATCGCCAGGTTCAGGGATCGACCCCTGAAGCCGAAGTACTTCTTCCCAAACATGGCGTTCCACGTTCAAACGACGATCGACGTTGAGATGGAGGTCGAGGGAGCGATCCAGAAAAATGACGAGCAGGCACATATATAGCTAGGACGAGAGCTCCCGGAAGGCCAAAAGGAGTAACCCGAGCGTCAGCACAACCTGGGGGGCCAAGAGGCCGGGGTTGAGTAGGGTTGTCTGCGAGTATGGGGGCCACGTTCACTTGGCGCCGTCGATGCAGTTGAGTCCATACAGAGAATTGCTCCAGAGACGCTCGAGGCTGAGAGGATGAGAGCCTCGCTTGGCGGTCCACCGAAGGAACAGCCTAACAGGTATGGTTGTTGCATTTATCCAAACGAGCCGGGGTGAGAGTCCTTCGGAGGCTTATTGCGCCTCGTGCGCCTTTTCCTTGGGTGCGTTACACAACCCGTCGGGCGCAGTCTGACATACTTTGTTCTCAACTTCGAGTGAGACAGACTAGGTTGGACTCGCAAATTTATTCGCAGTGTTCATCTCATCCTTTGAGTAGAATACTTAGGTAAGCCCAGTGCAACCCTGTAGCTAGTTGGACGCGATCGATGCGCCAACCCCCGCGGCGCCGGTGCTTTCCCCGGCATACGTCAAAGTGCGTTTCAGTCGAGCAGTGACAACGGTGGCTGCAAGCCAAGCACGCCGTGGCTGAGATCTGGCCAATGCGCATTCGTCAAGGCCCGGGAAACGACGAGGGATCCCGTACCACACACCATGGATCTCACCATTCTGCCCTCTTTGCGCCGTTTGCGGCTAAGGGGTTACCGTAGGCGTATCCCCTGTTCCGGAATCCCAACCAGATTTTCAGTGGGAAAGCCATTTCCGGAATATCGCTGCAGCGGGCCTCTCTGGCCAGAGACAAAGGATGTAACCGTGCCAAAACGAACGACGGAACCTCGCCAGCGTAGGATCTCTGAGTCAACGCCAAGCCCTAAGCTGGGCGCCAAGGGCCATGGGCGATTGGAGGCTTGGAGCAGTCCGAGCATCGGGATAAGCCGGGGATCCCCCAGATGGGACGGAGCTCGGTTGAGCGGGAGGGCTGGCATGCGTTCGGCCTGTGCACTGATGTACTACAGTGACTCGCCCCCATCCATGCCATGGTTGTTTGAGTGCTCATCAGCCGATGCGATAAGCTGCATCTTTCGACAGGTACCAGGCTGAATCTCGTGCTTTAGGTGTCGGAGCTCTCTCCTAGCCAGACTATTCGTATCTGAATTGCGGGTGTTAGAGTGATACCGGGTGTGGAGACACAACCTTACAGTATTGCTCATGGCGTTCCACGCCTGCTTGCGATGGAATAGTACGCAGCCCGGGGAGCGTCGATGCTGATCTGAGATGTGAACAGGGAGAGCAAAAGGGATTCCCCCTCGGCCGCAAGTACTTAAGGCTTGAGGCATGGTTTTGTGACTGGGGAAGAAGCGATCGCGCGCCCGCCGGATTCCTCTGGGGACGGCGGAACGGTGATCCATTTGCCATCCTATGTACATATAAGAGGAACGGCCTCTCTTTCAGAGATAATTTGAGTCTTGAAGTTGGGTTGTAGGTAAATGATCCTCGGTTTAAATCAAGCCTGGTACATGGGCGATTATATATTTCCTACCTCATTTAGCCGATGATTCCACATGGGGGAAGACTCATATAGGCCAAATGTTCTTATGGGGCGTGATTGTATATAGGGAACATTTTTTATACACAACTCCCCTATACGGAACTTGAAGTATCACACCTAGGCGAAATTGGCACCTATGCATACCATCCATTTAATGCTCGAGCGAATGTTCGTTGCTGTGAGCGGGAATGATCAAATCATCCGCCGTCCTCCATACCTTGCTATATGGAAAGAATCAACACAGTGCAGGAAAAGAGCCGTACAAGGCCTTGGACCTTGTCCTGCTTCAGGGCAGCCAAAATATCGATATTTCTGTCCGCGAGTGCGCTGTTATTTTTCTTCTGCTTCTTGGCGGCCTTGCCTCTGGGATTTGAGCCAGTACCTGCATGTAATTCAACCCGGGGATTGGTTCTCGTGCAGATTGCGACCGAGGAGTTATAAGCCGAGTGTAAAGGCATTAGGGGTTTTAAGGATGGTAATAGTGCTCGTTAATGTATACGAATAATGGAAGCCAAACACTTGAAATAAAAATAATAATAACGCTAATGATATTACTGACAATGTGCGTAATCATAATGGTAACAATAAAAGAAATCGTGATATATATCCCGCCGCCTCTTGCGTCTACACCAAAAGCCCAACGCATCTACATGCTAAGTATATACAAGTCTATATCCACACCGAATCCTAACATTCCATCTAATGATACCCTTCCAAATGGTCAAGAATCGTCCCCCTAACCTCACTACTCAGCGTAACCTTCCAGAGCCGGTACTCATTAAGTGCGAACATCTCACCAGGCCTAGCGAACGCCAGGTTCGCCGAGACATCAGGCAGGAGAATCTTGCCAAGCAAAACACCGGCAGGAGACCAGACGTGGATGCCGTCGCCGCAGCCGCTGTAGACGTTACCCTCGGTGTCTGTCTTGACACCGTCGGGGATGCCGTTGTCGGCGTAGGCGAAGACGCGGCGGTTTACGAGGAAGGGCGCGCCGGAGTAGTACTTGATGTCGTAGGCGTAGCTGGCGTTGTTAGCACAGTCAATGTATTATAGAGATGGTGTACGTACATTGTCGCCGGCCGCGTGGGGTTCTTGTCTCCCGTTCCCCGCTGGGCATCGGTATCAGTCACGTAGACGATACTCTCGTCCGGCGAGAACGCAATGCCATTTGGTTGGCCGAGGCGATCCGCCATAGCGCGCACATCGCCGGTCTGGGGATCGAAGCGGTACACCTGGGTGGGGAGGTCTGGTTTCGCGCCGAAGCCCTGGTCGTAGCCGTACGTTGGGTCAGTGAACCAGATGCTGCCGTCCGAGTGGACTTCGGGGTCATTCAAGCTGCTGAAGTGGCGGCCGAGGAAATTGTCGAGCAGGACCTTCGTCTTGTAGGGCGCTGTCGCGTTCATCCAGATCAGCGAGGACGGGCGCTCTGTTGTCCCCTGGGCGCAGAAGAGGACGCCGCCTTTGTAGTTGATTGCGCCGTTGGCCATGGGGATGTCGGGGTTGATGACTTCGCGCACATAGCTGCCGTTCTTTTGCGGGATGATGCGTGAGATCTGGATTGGCTGGCCGCCTGTTGGGGTTTGGTAGTTGCCGACGATGAAGAGGTCGCCGGTTTCGGGCATGTAGACGGGTGCTTCGTGGGCGAAGGGGTAGGTGGTGTTTTCGATTAGGAGGTCGAGCTTCGGGTGGTCGCCCAGGATGGCCTTGAAGCCTGGCTGGATTGTCTTGAAGCCGGTGGTGCCATTGCCGGGGCCGGAGGAGGCGAGCGGGAGAAGCTGGGGAAATCGCATTTCGGCGAGGAAATCTTGATTTATAGCGGTACCAAACAGTCGGAGGCTGGCCGATCGGCAGCTTCCCTGAATCCCGGTTGATCGCCCGCTTGGCTGCGGGGGCTGGGGTAGTTGTGGCCAATTACAGGGGTGGCCTGGAGTGTGCCCAGACTTTCAGGTGATAATTGAGGCAAAGATCGGCGCCCAAGAAGGAGCCAGGGGTGGGACCTTCCTGATTAGGCAGAACACGCGAGATCGGAGAATTGCCGATCGACCTCGACGCGAGGGCGTCATCAATAGTCCTTGCTAGCGGAAGCTTGGATCCAGCAAGCAATCTGCACGCTGGGTGATCCCTATACCTACGAAGATAAAGCGGTCCAATCACCAGGTACCCTGGATGCCTGACCATGGTTCTGCGCCCCTGGACACAGCGGTATTGTCCTCTCCGCCACTCCCACTGGCTGCTCTTATTCTACCAACGTTCCTTACCGCTCCCGAGAGCCACTATTTTTAGTAAAGTTTTTATTTTAATTTATATAATATTATATATATAAACTATAATAACTTTTTTATTAAGGCCTTAGGCCTTTAAAAAGCAGGCTTATATTTTTTTATTTAAAGTTTTTAGTATAACACGTGGCTTATTAATTTAATAATCACGTGTAGGCCTAATAAAAAAATAAGCTAAATATTAATATTAAATAACTTATTATAGGCCTTTTTAAGCCTTAATAAAACTTATATAAATTAATAAGCTATTAAGGGCCTTTTTTTATTAATAAAAAATAAAATTTTTATTCCCCGGGGTTTTTAAAAGCTTTAAATAAATTTAAATAATATTTTTTTTAATATTTTTTAAAACCTAAAGGTTTTTAGTTTAAACCTAGCTTAGGTTATATATATTTTTTTTAATAAAGTAAAATTAGCTTTAGGTAATAATATAATTAATTACTACTTTTTAATTAAGCTAGCTTAGTAATAAAATACTTTATAAGTATATAATATTTTAAATTTTAACTTTTTATATAAAATTTAATATTTAAATTACAGGCTAAACATGCGTAAGTTTTTAATATTTAAACTAGTTAAATATTAATTAATAAAAAGTTTTTATTTAAAATATATTTTATAATATTAAGGCTATTCTTACCACCCTATAAATTATATATTTTTTTAAATAAACTACCCCTTAAATAATTAAAATTTACTAAGTTTAACTTTTTAAGACTAATTAAAAGTGCTTATATTAAAAAAATTAAAAGTATATAGTAGTATAAGTACTTAGCTTTTTATATAATTTTATATATAAATTAAAGTATTAGTACTTATGCATGCTTAAATATTAAATTTAGTATTAAACTTAATATTAAACTTAGTATTTTTAAAGGCCTATACTAAAAAAATTAAAAATATATATATTAAAAAAATTAAAAGCATGTAGTAGTATAAGTACTTAACTTTTTATATAATTTTATATATAAATTAAAGTACTAGTACTTTACATGCCTAAATATTAAATATTAAACTTAATATTAAATTTAGTATTAAACTTAAAGTTAAACTTAAAGTTTTACTTAGTATACTAGTACTTAAGTTTTTATAAAAAATTATATATAAATTAAAGTTAAAAAATACTATTTTAACTTTATTTTATAAAGCTATTTAAAGGTTTAAATATACTTTAAGTTTTTATTACTTAAGTTAAGTTATTTATTTTTTTTTATAACCAGGTGTTTAGCTATAATTATAAGGCCTATAAAAAATAATTTTTTAAATTTTTAGGTTTTTTATAACATAGTGGTTTAATAATATTATTTAATAAGGTTATTTAATTTTAAATAGCCTTATTATAAACTTTTACAGGCTAGATTTTAGCCTTACTTTTTAAAAAATAATATTTTTATATTAATTTTTTTAAAACTTTTTAAATTTAAAGCTTTTAATTATAATAAGGCTATATATTATTTTTAAAAACCTAAGTAATACCCTACTTTTTTATTTTTTTATATTACTTAAAGCTTTTTATTTTTTAAAATTTAGTAAAGTAATCCCATATTTTTAATATTAATATATTACCATGCATTTTTTTATAATAAAAAAATAATAATAAAATAATTTTTATTTTTTAAAAAAAATATATTTATAAAATAATTTATTTTTAATATTATACTTAAGGTTATTTAAATCCTTATTTTTTTTTATTTTACTATGTAAAAGTTATAATATAAAAAATAGGAACTACCTAAAAATTAGCTAATTTTAAAAGTTTATAATATTTTTATTATAAAATATATATTTTTTTTTTATAAAATTTTTTTAGGCCTTTTTAATAATCTTAAAAGCTTAATTTATAACACCCTAAAAAAACTAGTAACTTTTTTTTTTAATACCTTGCTTTAGGTTCTTATAATATATTTTTATAATATTAGTATTTTTAAGTTATAATAAAAAAGGGCTATCTTACCTTTTAAATATAGCCTATAAATTTTTTTTTAATAGCCACTTTTTTTTAATATAGGTAATTACTTTTTAGTTCCCTTTATAAGTAGTAATTACTTTTTAAATTAATTTTAGGTATTTAACTTTAATTTTTTAATACTTAAGGGCTATTATAAGGTTTTAGTAAATTTTTTTATTTTTTTTTTACTTAAAAAGTGCTATTTAAGTTAAATCTTCTTACTTTTTATAAAAAAAAGAAAAGATTTTTACTAAAATATTAAAGTATAGTATTACCGCAGTATACCTGGCAAAGTAAATATAATTTTTTTTTTTAATTTAGTAAGTACCTTTTAAATAGCTAATTACTTACTAGCAAAGTTATTAGTAATAATATAGTATAAATTTTAATTTAAATACTAGCTTTTAATAATTTAAAGGCCCCTTTTTATTATATTACTATTTTAATTATTATATAGTATAAAGGCAACAAGAATATAAGCTTTTTATTTATTTTAAATTATAATTATTATTAAATATTATTTTAACTTATTAGTATTATAAGTTAAGTTTATTAAAAAAATAATTTCTTATTTTTTTAGTAAATTAAGGCTATATTTTTTTTATAAAAATAATCTCCCTATGCTTTTTAAATTTATATACTAAAGTAAAGTAATATTTTTATTTTTTAAGTATTTTAATAAGCTTTTTTAGCTACTTTAATACTATTAATTTAGCATGGGTTTTTTATATATTAACTTAGGTATATTTTATTATTATAATAATATTATAAATATTATTAATAATTATTTAAGCACCTTTAGCAAGCTTAAAGGCTTTAAAATTTTTATTTACAGGCTAATTAAAAATATTTAGAACTTTATAAGCTTTATATCCTATTTTATATTAAATTATAATTATTTTTTAAAGGCCTAAATTAAGCTTGTGGATATTTTTAATATTATAGCTAATATAATTATTATAAAAGCTTTACTTAATAAAAATTATATTTAAATTAATTATACCTAGCTATTTAATAATTTAAATTTTATATAAATAAATAAATAGTTTTTAACTAGGCTTATTTTATTAATAATTCTTGCTTTTAATTATTAATTTCCAGGCTTTTTTACTTAAAAAATAATATTTATAATATATTTATATTTTACTAGTTTTAATAGGCTTTTTTTTTATTAAAAATAAAAAAATGGTTAACCCAGGGCTAAAAGCTATTAAATTTAAACTTTATTAAGGTAAATTTTTTTTAATAATATTATAAAAACGCTGGCGGAGCTTATTTAGGTTAAAAAAAATATTAAAAAAAGTAAAATTAAATATTTTAAATAGTAAAAAAAGTATAAAAGTATTAAAAAAAAGTTTTAAATAACTTTAATTTTTTAAATAAATAATAATTTTTTTTTGCGTGCCGTGTTTTAAGGGGCTTAAAATTATATAATATTTATTATATAAAATAAAACCTTATTTTATAAATATATTTTTTAAGTAAATTTTATATATTATTTTATTTATAATTAAGCTTTTAATTTTATAAGCTTGCAGTGCTATAAAAATATAATAAAAATTTAAATAAAATAAAAATATTAAAAGCATGGGGTTAGGTTACTTTATATAAGTTTTTTTAGTATTTAAATTTATAAAGTTTTAAAGTTATTTACTATTTTAGTAAATACTTAATATTTAATAATAAAATATATATTTAAATATGGTGGTGTTTAACTTTAAAACTTTTCTAGTAAATTTATAAAGTTTAAATTTTATTAAATTAATATAAATATTACTTTTTAATTAATTAAGGCTGGTTTAACCACCCCCTGTAATTATTTATTTTTAACTTTTTTTTTTAAAAAATTTTATAAGTTTTATAGGTATATTAATTTATATATAATTTTTTATATAATATAATATACTAGTATAACTTAGTAAGTTTACTATAAGTTTTAATACTAGGTTAGGTATAAAAAAGGTTAATAAAATAAGGCTAGTATATAATTTTAAATTATATAATTACTACTATATAAACTAGAATATATTAAATACTAATTAATAGGTGGGGCCCCCCTTGGTGGACCGTCGGTAGAATAAGAGCTTCCCTCCCACTGCCCTTAATCTTATTGTGGTTTCGATGCCATGCGCCATGGGTACTGTGCACTTGTGCCTGACCCATGTAAATCCACCTTTGCTAGCTTTGAAAACTTTTCTACTCGCCATCACACTCCCCGGACCATTGTTGCGTGCGCGAGGTGATCTCCCAACTGACTCAGGAGGCTCGCAGATCAGTTGTCCGGATATCCTAGCAGCAGCTTAGGAATTGTCTGCTTAACATCTCAACCAAAGCTAGTCAAGCATGTTTCGTCGGCGCGGAATGGCAATCTGTAAATTCCTGCCTTGGCTATGCCTGAGGGGTATTTCGGAGGTTACGTGCACTGTGAAGGTAAGCCTCGGCAAGGTATAAAGCATGGAGTCAAAGCCCTCGTTTCCAAAAAATTTTGTTCAAGCTACATTTGATTAAATGCTACTATCTCCCCTGCAGCCCCCTCTCCAAGTCCCCCGCAACAAGCCTCGCCATATCCGACTTCCGCCCAAGATACTGCAGTGCCCGAATACAATAGCTACAGTTCTGCCTGATCTGGAGGTACTCCGCCAACGGGCCCTGTTCTCCACTTAAACAGTCAAGGAGTATATACGCGGCTTTCGCAAACGAGTGGATAAGCACAACGGTCCACGGCTCAACGAGAAACGCGACCTCAGTGAGCGAGTCGTGGAAGTGGCGCTCCATGGCTGGAGTGAAGACCTGCTCCTTTTCCGACCGTAGGGATGAGCGCGCAAGGGCGCTTACTGCCAGGGCGTTATCGAGTCGCAGTGTCGTGATGAGGTCTTTACGGTTGCTTTGTTCGTGGTCATCAGAGTGTGTCCCAATGTCCCGGTCGATGCTCTCCAGTACATCCGCAAGCAGCATCGCGGCAAGATGCCAGTGGCCATCGAGAATGACGTACCACGACTGGATTCGCGAGGGGAGGAGGTCGTGGTTCGCGACGCAGTCCTGCATGAAGGGTTGGTAATTTGCTGTCCAGTGGTGGTAGACGTGCATGGTTTTCTGGATGGCTGAGTCCAGTCGCGCAGGGGACGCGCCTCGGTAGAGCAGTGTTTGGAGTTGGGTTACGCGGCGGTAGAGGAGGACTTTCACGGGCGTTGCGGAGGAGAGGACCGCGGCGGCTTCCTCGTAGCTGCACGGCCAGCGGGTTGGGAGGTCGATTTGTGTGGGAGTGGCGGGCGTACGGAGGAAGAGGTCGCCCCAGACGTCGGCATTGGTTTTGGTTTGGGCTGGCTTCCAGCAGTCTAGGTTGATAGGGGAGTCAGAGTCGAGCGCCGAAGGCGACGATGATATCTGGCTGTCTTCATCCGAGACCACGAGGGGACGTTGGTACATTGCAGCACTCAGCGTATCGAACATGATGCCCAGCCAAAACATCAGACTCAGTGTGCTGCGGTGCTCTTCGCTTCCCAGAATCGGGTCCAGCTGCGTGCGTTCAGACGACGGGGATGGCGCTTCCAAAATGTCTGTAAGTGTCGATGCGACCGATCCCCTGCGCAACTCGGTCACCCTCGGCCGAGCGTCGCGCTGCATCCGCGCAAATTTATGCTTAAACGTATAGATCTGGCGGTTGGCAGCTTCCAAGAAAACCGGCGCGCTGTCATTCTCCAAGAGCCGATTGAGGCGAGTTCCTGGCCCGGGTGCATCGGTGTCATCGAGCACACTCTGTGTAAGCGAGAAGATGATATTCGCAAAGATCACCCTGAACGACGGAATCCCAGTGCAGTGCTGCAAAGCATGACGCGCTTCATTCCACGTATTCTTCCGAATTGCCCTTTCATGCGCCGCTATGTCCTCGGGAACCGAGAGTCTAGCACCCCTCTGCGCATGCTGCGTCCATTGCGACGCAAAAGCCACAATTGCGAGATGGAGTGCTCGTGCCGCCGCCTTGTCTTCGTCTGCGCTTAGTACCCTGCCCCGAAGGGAATTCGAGACTCGGTCCAATCGGCACACGCGGATGCACATCCTGTTCGACCAGCTGGGCCCCCATTCCTGTTTCTGTCGAGTCGGAAGAAGGTGGTTCAGCTGCTCGGAGTACGGGCAGTTGTGCTCGGTCAGCCAGCAGGAGAGGGCATTCTCCATGCTATCGTGGTAGATGCGCATTAGGTTGTGCGTCATTGTGGAGCGCACATACTGCTGGGCTGTATTGTTGGACGTAAAGCAGAGAATGTTGGGCATGGATGGTGAAGCCGGGCGAGACAATCGCAGGCCGCCATGTGCACCGCATTCCAAGCTCACTGGTTCGGTCTGTGGGTCGGATGGCTGGTCTTCGAGCTCAGGGAATAGCTCGGCTAGGGTTGGACTTCGTGGACGATGGGAGAATGTTTGGAGACTGAGCGGACTGAGTGGCTTGTCTGGTGAATGACCGGCTTGGTCGAATTGCCTGGTACCGAGAGGTCCTAGGTCAAAGGGAAAGGTTGCCTCAACCTGGTTGTCTCCTGCACCTTCCACATGAACAGGAATAGAGAACTGGTTGAAATCAAACAGGTCGCCTGGATGCGAGAGTAATCCCTCGTTCCAGCTCGGGAGGATATCGAAAGTCGCAACACTGGGAGGGGCATCGTAACTGTCGCTCTCGGGGGTAGGGATAGCAGTCGCAGTGGCCGCAGTCAATGCTTCGTCGAGAACTGCTGCGTTCTTTGATTTCGTCACTCGCTTGCGAGGCGCAGGCTGCCTAGGCCTTGCCGCCTGGGACAAGGCCCATGTAAATGTACAAGGTTTCTTCCAGCGCTTGCAGTTAGAGCATGCTAGACTGGCCTCGGTCTGGAATTCCTGCGAGTTCGCCTAACATTGTCAGCACGGGTTGCGACTCCATGTCGGTGATGGAAGTCAGAGCCGATGTCGGCGACCTACCGGAGCATCGCATCGCCGTTTACCCTTGCGACATGGATCGCAGCTGCGATTTTGTCGTCGGCGAGTGTCTGCCATGGTCGCACCCTACACAGCTAGATTGAAGTTTCTAGACCGAAACGTTTGGGCGACGTGAGATCTCGACTTCCCAGCCCCAGACGAGAGATCCTGGGGAAGGATCATGCGGGGTTGCAGCACATGACCAGCCCCTGTTCGCATTGCCATGCTAGTTTGCCAAGCTAAGCGGGGTTGTTTTGACCATGGCCAATGATGGCAAGTTGATCCTGGGGAATGAGCACTAGTGATGCATGGGGATGGGGGTCTCCGGACATCCGAGTCCCGGGTCCAAGATCTGGCACGGTGCTACGGGCAAGTCCATTGTTTTGAAATCATTGGATCTGAAGTAGTCTTGCGTATCGACAGGTTCGGATCTGCTCCAACTACCTTGGCATGCATGGTTTAGTACTTACTGTTTTGAGGCCAATAAGGCCCGGCCAGGGTGTAGCGTGAAAGATAGGTACTAGCCAGGTTGGGCGCAATCGACAAAAATGCTTGCAGCCAGTATGAACTCTCAACAGTGTGCTGCGACCTGACTGCCTTATACTTCACCCTGGGAACCTCGTTGCACAACCTCGTGCCAACCTGCCACTGGAGACGCAGCCCTAACCCGTGCGGCTCCGCATGGCATGTCCCCCTCGTCCCGCGAAAGCCGCTACCAGCACCTAGCAACATCCCTGGTGAGCTCCATTCACCCGACATCATGGTGCCACTACAAGCGGCTGAGCCCCAGAGCAGCTAAAAAGCCGCCCGTCATACGACAAGCTGTTCCAACTGTTCGCTAAACAGTTTCAAGGCTAGACCTTCTCCCGGACCACCGCCAAATATTCCTCGCCCTTCTTCGTCGCATCGCCGGCCTTCAACGCCAAGTAGAAAGCTTGCGTATCCCTGCGCTCTGTTGAAATAAGACAAACTTGAGTGTAATAAAGAGGTTGGTCGTCTCATGCGTGGCCTCAACTGCAACTCCAAGTACCTCCTTGGGAATAATGCAACTAAATACCATCTTTTACCGTTCTTTTCCCGCCTGTTACAACTGGGTAATATCGGTTGTTTAAATGGGATCCTTCATAGATGACTCTGTGTATGCAAAGAACAAATACATTCATTGAGCTACGCATGAACCTGTCCTTTGGACGTAGAAAACGTAATAATGCCAAAACATGAACTACCGTATATACGCCATAAATCATCAGCATTTCGTAGAAGCAAGACAATTGGATCCGTCCAGATAATTCACTCCGGCATCTCAAGAACATATCGACCGGCGATCTTCCCCTGTTCTGCAAGCATTTAGTACAACCCAACCAAGACCAAATTCAGAGGGCAGGAGACTCACCCATGAGCTCAAAGATCTTGGGCAGATCCTCGAGAGGCGCAGTCTTGAACGGAGCCTTGATCAGGCCACGCGCAAAGAAGTCCAGGGCTTCGACTCCATCCTGGCGATTGCCGACATAGCTGCCCTTGATCGTGATCATTCGGAGGACCGTATTGAGAACTGGAGCTTTGAGGTACGCATCCGGCGGCAAGCCAATGGCGACGATTGTCCCGCGCGATCGCACATACTCAGTCGCCTGCTGGAAGGGTTTCTCAGAAACAGCGAGGAGAATCACAGCGTGCGCTCCAAGCCCATCGGGCGTAGCGGCCTTGACATCAGCGACGAGGTCGTTTGACCTGGTAAAATCGACGAATGCCTGAAGAATCCATTAGCACATACCTCCCACTCCCGTTGGACAAGATTGCTTGGTATATGTACCTCCGCCCCCAACTCCTCACACATCCCCCTTTTCTCATCCCCGCCATCAACAGCAACAACCCTGACCCCCATCGCCTTCGCATACTGCAGCGCCAGCGAGCCGAGACCACCTCCAGCCCCCACAATCGCAACCGTCTGCCCGGGCCTCACGCCCGCCTCCTTAAGCCCCTTGTACACCGTAATCCCCGCACAAAGCACCGGCGCCGCCGCATCCAGCGGCAAACCGTCAGGGATCTTACTAGCATGACTCGCCTTGCCGAGCGCATACTGCTGGAACGTGCCGTCGACCGTATACCCGCTCAACTGCGCCCTCGCGCACAGCGGATCATCGGATTGCCGACAGAACTCGCAGTCCCCGCATGATCCGTTCAGCCACTTCAGACCCGCGCGGTCGCCGATCTCGAATTCGGATACCAGCGACCCCTTCGCTACCACGGTGCCCGCGCCTTCGTGTCCGCCGACCAGCGGCATCTTCACCGGGATAGGCCAGTGGCCCATCATTGCGTGCAGGTCTGTGTGGCAGACGCCCGAGTACTTGATCTTGACGAGGATTTGGTCCGGGCCTGGTGTGGGGACGGGGATTTGTTTGTACTCGAGCGGGCCGCCGATGCGGGGGGCGACTTGGGCCCATTGCATTTCTGGGATGGAGGGGGACATTTTGATATGGCACTGCGGGTGGGAAATTGCGAGAGAAGAAAGGTTTGGGCTGATGGATTGGATGACTGTTCCAATGGTCGCTTGGTGTGATTGATGAAGGTTATTGTGAGAACCTTGCGGGTCTTTATAGATCTGTCTCCAGGCAGATGTGGCAATCTGGGGAAGAGGGGTTGGGAACGGGGCCCCGCTTGATATCGCGATAACTGATGGTCGGATCTACGTGTATAACCCAACGAACTCAGGGAGCTAGATGGAAAGCCTGTAGGGAGCCAATCCCACTGCTCGGGCGATGCGGTTCCGCATGGCTCGGGACGCGTCCGATGTGCGGATCCCGATGCGGGCGGACGGTTCGGAGGCTCCCGCATCCACTGGACAAGGAGGAAGGGAGAGGACTTCATGGCTTTGATTTACTAGGTTTATCGCATTGCACTACTAGGCGCCAATCAAACCTAGTGTCCATGGGTAAAGCGATGCCGAGAAGGACTAGTCCCCGGGGCATACTGAAGACAGAATACAAACGGATGGAAATCTCATTGACACATTCAAAGTAAAGTATAAAACAGCAGATCACAGAGTAAAGTATAAGGGGAAAGGAATGTCTGATCCGAAGTACACTGTTCTCCGAGGCAGACCTTGCGTTGTTGGAGCTGGAGAGCTAGAGCCGTCCGTGCTAATTAATGCAATCCACTCCTTTGCATGATGACATCGTCATGTACATCGTCAGGAAAGAAAGTGCTAGACCATCCAACGCCGATGGCGAAACCGTTATGAGCATTCAGCCGATTCATCCCATCTTCATCCTGTCCAGCCCTGGCCTCAGCCCGATTCGACGACTGCGACCAGACAACGTCAAACGCCAATAGCTCGGCCAGGACTCCTTCCAAAACATCGATGTTCATGGAAGCATTGTTACCCGCATCTGTTTCGTTCTGCCTAGATCGGTTCGGCCACTCTCTTGTCTCAGATAAAGCATCTTGCCTCGCCGCGGGTGGAAGTTGACGGCTGGAGTGTTTAGATGCAGGGTGTTGAAATGGTCCCAGTCCATCCAGGGCTCCAGAATCTGTAGAGTCGTTGCTGTCTTTCAGTGAGAGTAGGTTCGGGTTGATGTACTCTTGTGGGCTCTCTTTCATACTCGCTCTGCCCCATTCTTTGCTAACCTCACGGTTGAAGGAAAGGGCCATCGGCGGATATTCGAGATCACGAAGATGTATCGGCGAGTTGGGATGCTTAAAGCTAGACGCTTCTGATGGTTCGCCTGGGGCGCGTTCCGCGGAGGTTGTGGATGGAGAGTTTGTATACTGCGTTGTCCAGGCATGCAGCAAGGCGTCACCCATCTTGGCGAGGACCAAGGATAACTGTCAGAGAAGCCTATCTGCGAGCGGCAAAGTGCAGAGTTTGCTTGGGGTCATTGAAATGAAATGCAGTACATCTGCTGCTTAGCTGAGGTTCTTCATGGACATCAACGGTCATGGATCTTGAACTACGAGGTGAAAAAGCGGACAAGGCTCACGGGTCCGTAGACAGTGGCTTCTTCTGGGTAGCTACGGCAGACCTCGACGCTCCTTCCTAATGTCATACGATCGATGGACGGCCAAGATGCGGAGATGCTTACCCCCCGCATGTAGGGAGATCCTGTCTAGGGTCGATCATCCCACCTGTGCGGGTCCGCATCGATCGAGCCACGTCGAGTTTGCGTATGCGGGGCGATTTCCCAGGCGCCTGGGGGCTTGGATGAAGCGTAATGGTCGTATGCAATAGATCCTTCTCCATACCAGGAGCTTCCCCCGCATTTCTTATTCCTAATCTAAGATGTGACTGGATGAGTTCGGTGCTAGTTCCCCGCATGAGACTGGGCAGGATCAAGCACCAAAGGAAAGTACGCAGCGATAGACTCCATATTTCGCCCTGCAGCATCCAATTACATGACACAGCCGATGTGAAGATTGCTGTGAGCTATTTCCTAATAAGCACACTGCCCCCATTTCGAAGTCCGGATGCTCCTTGTTCTTCTCCTTCTCCTCTGAAGGTGGCTAGTACACCGCTGAGAATAGTGCCCCAGCAATTTTGAGTTATCCCCAAGCGCCAAAATGACCAGCGACCCGAGTCAAAATGGCGAGAGCAAGGGCTATCCCCTCGCCACCGTCCCTACCTCCGTTACCCTTTCCGCCGAGCAGTTCGAGAAGCTGTACCTCTCCCCCATGACGCGCCAGCAGCCTACCCTCGCTAGGAGAGTCGGTAATCCAACTCCATTGTAAGTTCCTCTTACAAACAATGGCGCTCTTAAAGATGATACTGACATGTTTCCAGGGCACTTGGTGGCTTCGTCATCACCACAACTCCGCTTTCCTGTTGCTTGATGGCCTGGCGAGGGGCGAGTGGTAATGGCATTGCATTTATGTATGTCTTGATCGGATGTTGTTTGCACGTATTATTGATGAATTAACGCAAACAGTGGGCCAATTGTCTTCCTCGGAGGCCTTCTACTACTCATCACGAGTATTCTTGAATTCATCCTCGGAAATACATTTCCCTGCGTTGTTTTCGGGACAATTGGTGCGTCGACCACATTACCCTACCTTATTCCCAACTTCTACCCCTGTCCGTTACTAACGCTTCCAATAGGAGGCTTCTGGTTTGCCTTTGCGGCTACCATGATCCCCTCATTCAATGCGGCCGGTGAGTTGAGCTCTTGCTCTCTGCCTGATTATTATGCATGTCCTAATACTTCTCTAGCGCCCTACTCCTCATCGGGCACCAGCACAACCGCCGGTCTTAGTGACCCCAGTTTCATGAACACCTTCGGTACGCTGTATCATTGCTCTACCAGACTCTACAGCATACTGATACTCCCCTTCCAGCGTTCCTCTTAATAACAATGGCCGTTCTCATGCTAATCTTCCTGATCTGCGCAACCCGCACCAACCTCGTCTACACGCTCATCTTCCTCAACCTGCTTCTGGTCTTCCTGCTCTTATCCGCCGGGTACTGGAGCCTCGGCGAGGGCGATGCTGTTGTCGGCAATAGATGTGTAAAGGTATATTAACGTATGATATTTTCTCGTGTCAATCGTCGCTAATATTTCACTGGGTCTAGGGCGCTGGGGCTACATTGTTCGTCGCCAGTCTCCTGGGCTTCTACCTGCTTATTGCTCAGCTTTTCGATGCCGTTGGGCTGCCGGTTACCTTGCCGGTGGGTGATTTGGAAGGATTCTGGAAGAGGTATCAGAAGTAAGTAGTGGATGCTGTTCTGGGTATTGCGCATCCAGAGGTTACTCGGTCCAGTGCTGATATTTGGTCAAGGCACAGGGTGCGTGACGGTCAGCGGGCAGAAGAGGTTTAGGTACGGTAGGGTACATCAGGTTAATCTGTTATAAGGTGAAGTAAATCCTTGTTGGCTTGACTAGCTACTGGCGTTGACTCATGATGATGATCTTGCAATTTATATTTTGATCATGATACACTAAGAGGGGGTTTCAGGATGATTTCATTGTAATTGCAGAGATATATATTCGCTGGTGATCCTAGAAGGCCGACGCATCCATAGCGCGAGGGAGTGATTTTTGAGTTTTTTTGTATGTACTTCTCAAGTTCTAACTTATCCTAGGCAGTAGACATCCCTTAGAACCTCCTGTGACTGATAAAATGGCATAGAAGGCTGGAAGGAATTGAAGCTATTCCCAAGCCCGCCTAGCCGCTCGCACAGCCCCCCTAAAATCTCCACTGCCTGATCAACCCTTACCCCGCAACATCTCAACATCCCACGCCACGATCGCAATTCCACACCCTGATCTGAGTCCTGGCACTGAGTATCTCAACCATGCGCGCCCTCCTCGAAAAATACATCTACACCATCCCCCCGCAACCCGCGCGCCCGCGCAAAAAGCCCATGGCCGTGCTGGCCCTCGGCATGTCGCGCTCAGGCACAGAGTCCCTGCGCCGCGCGCTGCAAATCCTCGGCTACGACCACGTCTACCACGGCTTCGACATGAGCGAGAATACTCCAATGCAGTGGAAACAGTGGGCGCTGCTGGGTCGGCGGAAATACGGCATTGGGTCTGAACAGAAACACAGCGGGGATCCGGGTATAACGCGCGCGGACTTCGACGAGATCCTCGGGCACGCCGAGGCGGTTACGGACCAGCCGTGCTCGATTTTCGCGACCGAGTTGATCAATGCGTATCCCGAGGCCAAAGTTATCTTGAATCATCGGGACGTGGATGCGTGGTATGAGAGTATTTGTGCCCTTATACTCCCGCATGCGCGGGGGTTCTGGTACCATGTCCTGCCGTTCTTCCAGGCCGATATGTACTGGGCTGTGCAGTATACGGTGCACTGCTTCAATATGTTCTTTTATGGGGATTTGAAGAGGAATGGAAAGTGGGTTTATCGGCAGCATTTTGATACCATCCGAGGGAGGGTGGAGGAGGAGAGGTTGCTTGTTTGGACGGTTGGTGATGGGTGGGGGCCGCTTTGCGAGTGAGTTCCTCTTTATATTCAAGTGTATGAGATGTTGGATTGACGGGTTCCAGGTTCCTAGGCAAGCCTATACCAGACGAGCCGTTTCCGGCTGGGAATACGCTCGACACGACGAACAGGCGGTATGAAAAGAACATGGTTCGCATTGGGATTATTGCTGCGAGGAACTTTGCGCTCTTCGTTCTTGTTATTGCTGTTCTGATTGGGTTGGATTACAAGTATGTGCCCGCGTACTGTATAGGCTATGTTTACCGGTCGAGGGGCTTTGGTGACGATCAGCATTGCCCGGTTTTATTCCAAGGGAGGAGGAATTAATCGACAAGGGCCTATGAATGCCATCACTTTGCTAGTAAGCTGCTAACAACATTGACCCGTGGACACTCCATTTGAACAGGTATAATAAAATAACCGGGTGGTGCCGCGTTGGCTATCGCTACTGGCATGGTATTTACTTTCATAATAGGCTGTATTGGATGACGCAAGTCTGAGATCCGGGTACGTTCTGTAATGTTACCCAGGCTGTGTGTTGGGAGTGATGACGGGGATACGGTAATAAGAGGATATATTAAATACCAGGGTGCTTGCCAGCGCTGCTCATTAGGTAGTTGTGTCGCACGAGGGTCTAAATATAGACTAGGGAAAGGCACGCAATTCAAGTGATATATATCTTACCAAGCAGACTTGTATCTTCAATCGCCGCTAAACATCCTGCTGAGGACGAATTTCGGGCTGTTGACGTACAGTAGCTGCTAATACAAGTGCCTAGGTGATCAGGAAAACGAACAAAGCATTGTGCCATTATGCTGGGTAGATCCAAGGACCAAGCGATCACTTACTTGGGTAATACAGGGTGTGAGGCTACTGCAAGGCTGCGTTGGCACACATACTCTCGAGTCCGGATCCCTGGAGATCTATAATAAGATAGAAGGTCTGGCTTTATGAATGGATCATGTCCAGCCTGGGAGTTTGCTGCAGGGTCACTATTCAGGAAATTCTCCGATCGCGCCTCCTCTATTAACCCTATACTCAGATTAACTAGCTTTGCTCGCGGTAGGACCTATTTCTAATTTCCTCGAGCCGGCCTTTCAAGGGCGTATGCGATGGGTAGTACGATGGAGATGAGATATATCCAAATAGGCTCGCCGTCTCCAATTACTGTAGGACTGCACACAAGGGTTTAGGAAGACCAGCTCTAGAGTCTCCAAGCTGGTGGCCAATGTTATCCTCTCATCTGCTATTCAGGACTGAGGGACAGATCATTGGATCAGGCTCTCATCTCCGACCAAGCTGACTCCGTATACTGTGTAACCACCCCATCACCGAATTCTCTGGTGTGGGCGTTTCAGCCTTGTCAAGGGCGGGCTATTTAAAGAACCATCTCCCACCATGAAGGGTGATGCTTGAGACTTCGGTAAAGACGATCGTCGCTCCTTCCTTTGGTACCTCTCTTCCAAAACCATCTACAAGATGCCCCAAGACCCGAATACCCCTATGATCAGAGTTTGTCACCCCTGCGATCTCGAGCTCGAAGACCGCGATCCAGACCTTGAGGAAGTTTCACGCTCCAGGTCAAAGACGAATACTTCTGTACTCCGAGACCATGGCCTCGATACTCCCGAGACCGAAGACCATCACTCCACCTCCGAACAAACTCTACTCACCCGACCGAATACTCCTCCAGCAAGAGAGAAACCGAAGCAGACCAAAGCTCCAGGAAGAATCGCCCGAATAGTGGACACATGGTTTTACGAATGCCTCACGATGATCTTCAGCCTAGCCTGCTTCGTCGCCGTGATCTGCCTTCTTTTCTTCACAGACGGAAAGCCCAAACCAAACCTCGCACGCGGCCTTACCCTGAACGCCATCGTATCCCTCCTCGGTACCGCCTGCAAATCGTCGCTGCTATACGTGATCGGAGAATGTGTCGGACAACTGAAATGGATCTGGTACTACAAAGGCGCCGGGAAGAAGAAGCTCGGGGGGATCCAGCTCTTCGACAGCGCAAGTCGCGGCCCGCTGGGATCTGCTCTGGTTCTGGCTCAGCACCGGTGCCGCTCTCTAGTATCCCTAGGAGCACTGGTGATCGTGCTCGCGCTGGCGTTTGATCCGTTCATGCAGCAGCCCTTGACGTATCCACTGCGTGAGGTCAGGGCCGAGAATTCTAGCAGCGCCGTGGCGCCACAAGCGGCTGTTCTCCTCCCGGAGCTTCTAGGCTCAGATACTCGATCCATCCTGTATACGGGGGTATGGTCGGACGACTTCGAAGTGCGTCCTTCGTGTCCGTCGGGGAACTGCACGTGGGCACCGTTTCAGTCGGTGGGGATGTGCAGCAAGTGCGAGGACGTGACTCGGTCCACTACAATGACCTGGACGGACGCGCGTGTCAACCTCAGCAAGCTTGAGAGGGTGACGGCACAGATCCAGCTCGAGCTGCCGCAGAAAGTGTACCTGGAGGAGCTCCCCGTCTACTCGGTGGTCGTGGACTCCTACTCGGTGCCCGTGGACCCCGACTCGGCGGCCGATTCAGGCACTGAGACCTTTTTGAGCTTTCCAAGGCGAATGCTCTGGTCGCCATTCTCGGTATTTTCATATGCGAGCCTATCGTCGAATTACTCGTACCTGGGCGTTCGGAACCCGCTGTATGTCCTGGCCCATGCGGAGCTGGACTTTGCGGACAAGGCCGTGGCCAGGCAGGGTGACATGCTCGATCTCGAGAAGACCTTGGTGCTCAAGAATGTGACGCAGTGCATCCTCTCCCCGTGCGCCAGGACGTACCGCTTGTCCATCTCCAATGGAGACTTCACGCGCGATGTCTCGGAGCCGGACTACGGGACGATGTTTGACAACCCCTACAGCGACGACTCGCTCCCCTGGCCCTCACGCTTCTGCTGGAAAGCAGGAACTGGCACCAATGGTTCTGTCGAAGTCGACATGGTCAACATTACGTCCTCGAGCTTTGTCAACACGACTAAGCACGCATTCTGCCCGGTTGATACTTATCGCGTGTCTAATTACTTCAACGAGAAGCACACCGAAGAATATAGATCGCGGGAGCTATCGGAGGTGGAATCTTACTTCGCAGAGACCCCGGAGAACCCCAATACCCCGTTCCTCGACCGCATCGCAATGGTGGGATTGGAAGAAGTTGTTGGCAATGTTGCCGCCTCGTTTACAAAGGCTGGTCTCACTGCCCGCGGCCAGAATGGAACGAAGGTCATGGTGCCTGGCACTATGAGCTCCATGGAAGTATATGTCTCCGTGCGGTGGCAGTGGCTTATCTTCCCTGCTGCGCTGGTCGTGATGGCACTTGTATTTTTGGCGTTGACAATTACTGTGAATAGGCGGCAAGGCCTGAGGTTGTGGAAGTCGTCTGTTCTGGCTCTTTTGTTTCATGGACTTGAGGGGGTGCGCTGGGAGGATGAGTGTTACAGTCAGAATCTTGCAATTGCGAGTCAGATGGATTTGACGGCGCAGGAGGTGAAGGTTAAGCTGGAGGCTCTGAATCAGCGGAGGGGGCTTGTGCTGAATTGTCTTTGAACAACCTTTGTTTCATCACGATTTGCGAATGATTTACGAATAGGCCAGGAACCTATATCCTACGGTAGCTGAGCGTGTCTTGTAGACATCTTAAAGGACAATGTTTACACGTTATTATCCTTAAATTGACTTGATCTCAGAAACGTAAGACCATTGGGAATAGAGCCAACAACCATACTCTCTGTTCCGCCAGTAGCATGAACATAAAAAATATGAAACACGAAAGTCTAAATGGGCGATTACACTTCTGTAGCAATCACCCCGTCCTCTCATCAAAGGTAGAGAGGATGACCTCCAGCGGCCACCAATATCATGAGGTATAAGCACCCGTTGATCACCAAGAATTCTAGTTCGATCGACAAAGTACTTAGTAAAGTACAGGGTCAGGTAGGAGATCAGGTTACTTGATTATATTGTAGTCTTAGTTAGAGCCAGTATGCCGGACTGAACAAAAGATTCAGAATAGGGCTCGCCCACACGCACACAGACTGGCTCTTCGCTTGCCAGCTTGTACTTGAGCCCCCCGGCCTCAGTCGGGCCTCCACTAAGAGGCTTATCGGGGCCCTCATTAGAGTCGGATTAAGAGGTTCATTCAGAGACTTATGTATACTGCTCAAGCCCTATCTAGAGGCTTGTAGATCTTAGGTAGACCTGGTATCCGTATAACCGAGCCCTGGAAGATGTAATCTTATAACTACAACATGGAGCCAGCCAGAGTGTCAGGAGATATAGCAGAAGAGATTGGGTTACCACAGAGGCAGTATCATGGCCTGGGCGCAAATGCCACCCAACTGCTCAGCCGTGAGCCAATTCTATCAAGACATTTGTGGGCGTATGGTATCTGCCCGACCAAGACGTAGGTAGATGGGTAATCAGCAATGAAGACAAAATCAGATCTTGGCCTTCTCCTCCCCAACCCTGGTCCACTGTTCCACCTCCGCAAAATTCCCAACCTTCCCTTCCCCCCCAAACCGATCCTGCGTATCCCTCCAGTCCCGGTTAATCGCCGTCTCGGGCCTCCACCGAAACCCATCCCTCAACCTCCCCTCAAGAACCCCCTCAAGCGTCTCCTTAATCGCAATCCCCACCGCCGGCATCATCATAAAGCCCATCCCCGATCCACCAACAGCAACAACGAGCGATTTGAACCGCGGGTGTCGGGAGATAAGGAACTGGCGGTCCGGTGTATCGGCGTCCCAGCAGATGCGCGCGAATGCGAACGGGCGGTCGGCGATTTGGGGGACGGTATCGCGGAGGAATTGCCGCGCTGCGCGCTCGGATTGCAGCGGGATTTGGTGCTTTGCGAAGGGGGTGGACTGTGGGAAGGGGAGGGGGGTTTGGGAGGGCGGGATGTTTACGTAGCCGGGGTGTTCGTCGACGAATTTGAGCTGGCCGGTGGAGTCGGGTTCCTGGGAATACTTGTTAGTATCTCATGTGTCTTTGTCTTGATGTGAGAATCATTGAGAAAGAGAAGGAGAGGCCCACGATGAAGAATCCGCTGTTGACGTTGAACAGCACGGGCAGGTCCTTCCACAGCTTGCGCTCCTCCTCGGTCAGCTGGATATGTGCTAGCGTCCAGGCTGTCGGGCGCAGCTGCTTCTCGAAGTCGAGGAGCTGGTCGCTGCCAGCTCCGGCGCAGAGGATGACGTGGTCTGCTTTGTGTTCGCGTCCGTCGAGTGTCTGCGCGCCGATAACATCGCTCCCATCGCCCGAGTACACGAGGCTCTTAACGCCCCCTTCATCGCCCGTAATGAACTTCACGCCCAGTCTCGAGGCCTCCTTAAACGCGGCCTCCAGGGCGCCACGGGCAAAAACCCAGCCGGCGCCCGTCTCGCGGAAGAAACCCTTCCATTTGGGAAAATCGCCCGTCAGGATTCCCTCTGGCATTGTAGCCCTGAAATCCTCCGCGGTGTTAAGCAGCCGCAGCTCATCCGGACAGGTCGCGATATATCTATCTACATGGGGCCTTGCGGACTCTTGGCTCGCGGCCATGATGAACCCCGTTGGGTGGTAGAAGGGTTGGAAGACGGGGTCGTTCTTCCATGCGTTTGTGGTGATTTGGTGCATTCTGTTCCAGACGTATTGCTCGGGTGTGTCTGTGTCGGAGGGGGCGCCTGGCTATGTTAGACGAGAGACTTGGGAAGATGGAAGTACGGGGACGCACCCTCCTCCATAATCTTGTTTACATCATTCCCGGCGGCAGTGGGCGAGGGTATCGGGCTGCGCTCGAGGACGGTTACGGTTTTGTAGCCTGCCCGCGCGAGATTGAGGGCGGTGCTGCAGCCCCAGGTGCCGCCGCCGATGATGAGGATCGATGAGTCTTTGGTTAGTTGGGACATGTTTGTGGACTGGTGACCTGGCTGGTGTTTGAGGTGGTGCGGTGCTATTTAACAGCCCCCAAGGTTGTGTCACTTGTGTGGGCTTATCGGCTCTGGCGTGTCTCCACCGAGTGGAGGAAGGTCCTGCCGAGATAGAATAGGGCTTATCAATCAGGGCTGTCCTATATTGCGGGCATCTAAGGTTGGAGTATCAGGACACCACCTGGCTGAGTCTATGGGATGGGTTACCCATGAGAAAGATTGATCGATATCAGCTGCCTTCTGATAGCTGCCTGATGCCTGAGACGGCGATATTCCGCCAATACGTCAATTCTCCAGCGGTTTAAGCCGAGGACGCCCCATTTCCCCGCACTTCCAGGATATCATCAGGGCGTTATCGCCGATCTGACTCCAAATCCATTGCTTGAAGACTCGATCAAGCTCTCAAAGAAGCTTAGCCTCTCTCTTGGACCTTCCTTGAGAATATACTTTATCTTCTCCGCCTCGCGTGGCAGCTACGGCTATCTATGATGTCCCTATCCTCGGCCATGGCATCAAGGTATTTAAATCACATATGGCCCGGCCGCACGATGTTCATCATGCCACAGGCTCTCGTTACGTTATACCTTGAGTCAACATGGACGATATTTCGCAGTCCGAGGTTCCGGGAACCATCTTCATCGTTGGCAGTGAGTGGCACCATACACCCACCCACCCACCAGCAAGGGTTCACCCCACAAACCCCTACTAACGCCCCGTAGCGGATTCATCGAAGATTGAAGAGCCGAATGCCACTACATCGAACAACATCGTGCTCGTCCCCCGTCCACTCGAAACAGCACGAGACCCGCTGGTACGCTATGCACATCCCACCCAACCCACAATTCCACCTATCCTAACACGATCGCAGAACTGGTCCAATCCCAAGAAACTATGGACGCTCTTCCTGGCAACCCTCTTCGCGACCGTCGTGGCCTACGGCGAAAACAACCTCGGCGCCCCCTGGACCGAAGTCGCCGAGGACATCGACGTCACAATGAAAGACATGAACGGGGGCAGTGCGCTCAATTACCTCCTCCTCGGCTTCGTGAACATCCTCTGGGTTCCGACGGCCATGAAGCTAGGCCGCAAGGTTGTGTATGTCACGACCATTACGATTATCATGGTGTCCAGTGTGTGGATGGCGTATGTCCAGGGCGTCGCGCAGTGGTATCTGAATTCGATGGTCGGTGGGATAGGGCAGAGTGCGTATCAGGCGTTGATTCAGCTTACAGTTCGTCCTCTATCTCCTATCGTGGTATAATCGGTTTGATATAGACGACTGACGCCGACGTGTTATAGGTCTTCGATATCTTTTTCGCGCATCAGCGCGGGACCATGCTGGCCGTGTATGTCTGGGGCCAGCAACTGGGTTCAATCCTTGCCCTTATCCTTGGTGGATATATCGCCGAGGGGCCGGGGTGGAGGTGGAGTTCGAAGATTGTTGCCATCCTCTGCGTATGTTGCCTTCTTAAATGGCATAGCTATTGCTGTACTGACAAGACGATACTAGGGCTTCGTCGCGATCCTGTTTATCTTCACCATGGACGACACCCTATTCCCCCGCCATGCCCTCATCAGCTCCAACGCTGCTCGTCAACAGCCATCCGCTGCTCCTCCCTCCACTACTGATCCTTATGCAGCGGATGATTCCGAAACCAAGAAAGGACCAACCACCGACCTGACCCGCCAGCCTACAGTAGGGCAAGGCCGTACCGATCTCCTCCCGCGCAGCTACCTCCAAGTCCTCTCCCCAATCCACCGGTGGAAAGAAGACAAGACAACATGGTGGCAGTACTTCCGGCGCCCATTCCACCTCTTCGCCTTCCCAAACATCATCATGGTATTCACTCACGTCTTACTCTTCTAAATCCATGACCAACAGCTAATGATATATTCTAGGCCGGCCTAATCTACGCCTTCGCCAACACAGCCGGCATCGTCTCCTTCAACACCATCTCCGAAATCATGACCGAAGCACCCTACAACTGGTCCTCCGGCCCAACAGGGCTGATGTTCCTCGCCGCCCTAATCGGCTCGTTCATCGGGTACGCACCCACCCACCCCCTCATCCAATCTACATACCCCTCTAACAATGGATGGCTACAGAATGGCCACCGGCGCCCTAGGCGACATCCTAACCCTCCGCCTCGCCAAACAAAACAACGGCTACAAAGAGCCGGAGATGCGCCTGTACACGCTGGCCCTCTCCTTCATCTACGGCGGCATCGGCTACTTCATGTACGGGTGGTCCGCGTCGAACGGAAAATCGTGGGTGTTGATTGCGGTCGGACTGGGCGGGATGATCGCGCAGCAGGTGTCGGCTGCGAGTGTGGCGACGGCGTATGCGATGGAGTGCTTTGAGGGGATCTCGAGCGAGCTCGTTGTGGTGCTGGCGATTTGCAGCTCGGTGGTCAACTTTGCGATTTCGTATTCGGTGCAGCCGTTCATTGAGGCGACGGATTATGGGAGGACGTTTACGTGTTTTGGGGCGTTGGTTCTGGGCAGTATGGTGCTGGCAGGGGTGGGGGTGCGCTGGGGGAAGAGTTGGCGGAGACGGTGTGCGGGGAGGTATTGGAGGTTTGTGCAGGAGGGGGTTGTGATCTGAGTTCGATTTAGTTATGGCTGGTTGGATGCAGGTGGGATGCGGGCTTCTGGTTTGTTGCCTCCGAGGTAATTGCGCGAAATGGACGCGTTCAGTTTGGTTGTTGATTATGGTCGGCTCTATATTGGACACAGCATGAGTAGGACTGTAGGACGACTGTTTATAGGGGAGTTTCAGGTCCAATTATAGAACCATAAAACCTGCGCGGTACAGGTTTACCCAATGGCCGGGCCTGAACTGAATGCATGTCTAGATATTCATCTTGATCCAAGTAGAGGATGGGGTTCTTGCGCTGTTGAGAGTGGATGTTGGTGGTTTTCAGAAAAGGTCAGAGGAGTCCTGCTTGGGGTTCCTAAGAGGAGTTGAAACTAGAAATGTAATAGTATCGTTGACAGTCTGACTATGTTGCTTGTTTTGAAGAAAACATGGGACGGGGCACAAGACTGGATACAGTGGTAATGAGCGTCCTTTTATAGTTGCATCCATCATGCTCATGATGCTCATCCGGAGGAACATGGACAGGTCTTTGTGTCCTTCAAGCAGCCCAGTTGCTCGGTCCTACTTTACCTAGTCTTCTTGGTCCGTAGTGGTGAAGGTGGTACATTAAGCAAGACTCACGCGACACGTATGCTAACTGCCTTTGGTGAACATTCTTGACCTTTAAATTGATTGCTCAGGGCAGGTTTCACTTCCATTTTGGACACACCTTGACTCCTCCAAGACAGTTTTACACAGCTTGGACGTAATCGACATATTGGCTGAAAGCCCCCCGCCCAAATAAACGACAATTAGGAACCATCTGGGAAAGCATATTATACTACTACTGACTATTTAACCAAGGGTCTGTCAAAAGTTCACGAGCGCTCTGTCTCTCATCTGGGTCCCATCGAAGCATCTTCCGAACAAACTGCATAAACAATTGCTTGTTCGCATCCTCCAGGTACTCTTCAGAGTCCTCCAGTGAGATAGGTGGGATCACTTCAGAGGCTTTCCATTGGCCTAGCGGCAGGATTAGCCGGAGAATGAACTAAGACAGCGAAGCATTGGGTAGTGAAACATCACCTAAGGTGTCCCAGTATTTTTGACTCTGGGAAGATTTGTGAAGAAACTTAGCAGGTGGAGGGCCGAGCATTGCTACCATTTCGGCGAGAAGTTGCGCATCAGACTGATGACCATCCGGGCCCCTGCCATCGAATAGATGATGATCTTCAAAGAGATCCCAGATCTTAATCTCTCAGTCAGCCCACTTCGTAATGGACAGGTTGGTAAAAAGTGTGGTCTGTAGCCTACCAGGACTCCAACGTTCCATATATCAACTTTTGCCGTCCAACTCATCCCAAGAATCACCTCGGGAGCGCGGTAGATATCGGGCTGCACCAATCCATCGTGTACCTCCCCGATGCGAGCTTCTCCAAAGTCTGAAAGCAGTGGCATCCCAAAGCCACTCCATCCTTTCTTACGATGAAACGGCCGAGACAAGTAGGTAGTATAGTCGTCATTGACCTTTCGAGGGGTTGGGTCAGTAGCCTCGCTATCATCCCATTCACGGAAAATTGAGTCGTCGTTTGCGCTGATAATAATGTTCTTTGCTTGGATGTCTAGACATAAGATTAGCCAATCGTAGAGAGTGAGCTCTCTTCGCACCACAGACCAGTGTGTATGACGTGTGCCTCTGAGTGTAAATAATCAAGCGCCAGTAGTAGCTGCTGAAGTGCCCCTTTTAGCAAGTCCTCAGGAAGGCTTTTCGGGTCCAATGTCGCTTGAAAATGAAGAAGGCTGGTCACAAGGGGTTCGAAAACAATGCACTGATGGACCCCTCTGGGTCCTGTAAGCTCGAATTTCTCTATCATTTCGCGGATGAGACTGCGGCCAGGATGTTTCGATCTTATATTTGAAAGGTGGTCAAGCACGCGCACTTCCCTATTCTCCCCAGGGCTGCTAATGGATATTTTCAAAGCTACATACCGATGTTGTCTGTCAAGAAGATGAGCATTGACCCGAAAGATTGATGAAGGCGAGGTTTATTACCGAAGGTCACGACAAAACCAAACCGTCGAATTTGCTCCGTACCCTAATTTACTGATAACTTGGTATCTGGTATGAAAAACATCACCAAGTTTGACCGGGAAATAGAGCCGTCGATTGAAAGCAGGCATTCTTTCCTCCTCAACACTAGTTGTAGAATCAAGAATTGGGAAATTGGAGGTGCTGGATGGTCTTGGTGGAGACGGCGGCCGTCTAAGAAACCGGCCGAGTCGAACGAACGGGCTCATTGCAGTAACCTTATAAGTGGCGGATCACCATGTCCTAATTCTACACAACAAAAAGTGTTGAATAGTGCAAGGCTGAAGAATGAGAGAATTTGAGGCCGCCTCCTGCGTACTTATGTAATGAGTGAGAATTGCCACGTGATCATGAATGTCACACTAGTTATATACTTGGTCAGGTAGGTGAAGGGGGCTAAGTGTAGATGTCCTCGTCATCCTGATAGACTAGGCTGAAAATAAAGCCGATGGTTTTGCTACGTTTCACAGGAATCTCAGTACCCAATGCCAACCCACCCCCGCCTTTCGCCTGCGGGACTCGACCCAGCAAGAACCAGCCAAATCGCGGGGTACTGGCCCAGGAACTGTTCAAACAGGCCAGATCGAAGAGAGAATGTGGAGGAAAACCACGGAGATTATGAGGCCCTTTATATACCATACTGACTAGTAAAGCTATTAATTAAATACTATAAAAAAATAAAAAGAAGTAAGTTATTTTATAAAAGCTAAAGCTACCTAAGGGTTTATATAAATATTTTAAGCTTTTAAAAAATGTTTTAAAAATTAATTTTTTTATTAAAATAATAAGGCTTTACTTACTTTATTATTTTACTTTATTTTATTATACTAACACGGTATATAAAGGAATTAAGAAATAAAAATTTTATTAAAATTTATTTTTAATTAACACACCCTTTTAATACTTATTAAATACTTAAAATAAGGCTAGAAATATTTACTAAACTACGTATTTTAATAAATTTATAATATTACTATTTAATAAGGGGTTTAATAAGGTTATTTATTATTATTTAATTAATAAAAGTTTATTTAATTTTAAGATTTTTATACTAAACTTTCAATTAAAGCTATAAGTTATAAATATTAATATATTAAAGTTTTAATTATAGCTAAATATTAAGGCTAGTAAAAATATTAATAATTTATTTATTATTATATTATATTAAAAAATAGTATTAAAAATTAAATTATATAAAATTAAAAACCTAATACTATTAATAAGTTACTTTAAAAATTTTAAATAAAATTAGTATTTTTACCTTAATTATTAAAGTTATAATTAAATATTATTTTATAACTTTTAATTTAATTAAATTATTATATAGCTTATAAATATAGCCTATATTAAAAAAATAATTAAATTAATTAATAAAGGTTATATTAAAATAAATTTTATAAAAATTATATACCTTTAAAATAAGCTTATTTTTAAGGCTATTTAAAGTAAAGTATTTAAGGGCTAAAAAGCATATATTATAAAAATAAAAAATAAGTTAATTTATTATATATTAATAATAATTTACTAGATTAACTAGGTATTTTAATAATTAATTAATAATATAAAAAAAATTTAAATAAGTAAAAGTACTTATATATTTTATTAAGCTAATTTTAAACCTTATTTTTTTTAATTTATTAAGGTATAGTAATGCTAAAGTTTGAATAAAGCTTATTAAAAAAATATTTTTAAAGGTTTAATTATTATATTTAAGTAAAATTAATTTATAATTACTTTAATATAAAAGTTTTAATATAACCAAACCTTTTACTTTTTTTATTTTAAAAAATTTAAACTTTTAAAAACTATTTTACTTTATTACAATATTTAAGCTTGTACTTTACTACTAGTTTTTTTTAAAAAATAATTATAATAACTTAGCCTTTTTTAATAAAAAGGTTTATAATAATAATATTATTTATATAAATAAAAAAAATTATAAACTTATTAATATAAAAAAACTTTTTTTAAAAATTATAATAAATCTAAATTTTTATAATTTTATAGCTAAATTAAGCTATTAAAAATATAAAAAATTTTAAAATTTATAAATAATTTTAAGGGCTTTTAATAACTTACCCTGTTATTTATAATTATTTAAAAAGTAAAAATATACTACCTTTTTAAGGGTAGTATTAAAAAATATATTAATAATATTTTTTTAATTAAAATTAAAATTAAAAGTGGTTATAAGTGCTATAAAAGTTTTAAAAGCCCTTATTAAAGTAATTACTACTCAATTTTTTTTTAAAAAATTTGAGTTTTAAATTTTTATATATATAAATTTAGGCTTTAGCCTTAATAAAATAGTTATTAATATTAAATTTATAGGTAAAAACTTATAATAAAAAAATAATTTATTTATTTTTACTTTTAATTTATTTATTACCTCCCATGCTTTTATTTTATAAAAAACTTTTAATTTAAAATTTAAAGCTTTTAAAAACTTATTATAAAATAAATAGTTTTTAAAATTACTTTAGTACTTAAAAAAATTATTTTAATAAAGGCGCTTTTTTACAGGGTTTTAATAAAAAGTAAAAAAAGTAAATTAAATATAATTAAAATTATTTAAATTATATAAGGGAGCTATAACTTTTAAATTATACTTATAATTATTTATATTATATTATTTAAGCCTGCGCCTGGTTATTAATAGCCTAAAAAAAGTTACTAAAGTTTCACCCTTTAAGCGCGCTAAGCTTAAAGGCCAAGAAGAAAAAAAAGCTAGGCATGCTTATTTATTTTTTTTAAGTAACTACTTACTAGCCAGATTAGTTAGGGAATAATAAGGTGCTTAAAAAATTAAAATTTATTATTAAAAATTTTTTTAAATAGGCTTTTAAAGCTATTTATAGGGCTAAGTTATATATAAAACTTTTATAATAAGGTTTAAAAATTAGCTTTAAAGTTAATAAGTATAAAAACTTATTTAGCTAATTAAAGGCCTCTTTTTACTAGTAATCTTTTTAATTTTACCAGTAATATTTTAAACTTTATTTTTTTTATACTTATTACTATTTTTAATATTTTTTTTAAGATCTTCACTACCCATGGCCTATTTATATTTAAAATACCCTTATTTTTTATTTAAAGAATTTGCTAAAGTTAAGGTTTAGGTTAATTTTTTTAGTTTTATAATTTAAAAAAAAAAGATTAAGAACTTAGGCTAAAGGCTCTAGTAACTTAATTTTAATATTCATAATAAAAAAGGTTTTTTAAATTATATAATTTAAATTTATTAAAGATAATATTTTTGTAGGCATGTATAACCTATTTTTTAAGAAATTAAATTTATTAAATATTTTAAGTAATATAACCTAGTAAGTATTTTAATAAAGCCTTTAATTTTATATTATAAAAACTTTTTACCTAGGCCTGTCTAGCCCAGGCAAAATAATTTAATATTTTAATATTAAAAATATAAGGTTTTTTATTAGTAAAAGCTTTTTATAATATTTTTTACTTTAATAGCTTAATAAAAATATAATTATTAATATAAGCTATAGCCTTTATAACCCAGGGCTATATATTAAAAAAATCTTTTTATAAAAAGTTATTATTTTTACTTTTTTAATTAATATTTTATTAAAGCACTTAACTATATTATTTTAAAAAAAAGTATAAAAAGTAAACTAGTTTTAAAGTATACCTTAAAATATAATAAAGTTAAAAATATTATTACTAAGTATAAACTTATAATTATTTGTGAGGCGCTTTTGTATACTGCGCTGAGCTTAGGAGAACGTGAATTACTGTAATAGGAAAGCGTTGTGTATTTATAATAGGAACTAATTGCTAATTTTTTAAGTTAGAGTTTTAAGTTAAACTTAGTATTTTATATATTACGTGATTAACCGCCGCCTTGGCGCGTGGTTAAATTAATATTAAAGTTTTTTTATTAGGCGGCCTTAGGCTACTAGATTATACTATTATAATATTATATAGTTATAATATTATAATGGTAATAATAATACTTTTTTTTTAAGTAATTATGTTTTTATAATTTATAAATTTATATTTTTTTTTATAAAAAGTAATTTAAATTATAAATCTTATTAAGTGTTATAAAATAAGCTATTTTTAGGTTTATAAAGTGTTATAGTTTATATATAATTTATATTTAAAGTTAGGGGTAAAAAATTAATTTAATTACCTTACTTTATTACTAAATTTAAATATAGTATTACTACCTGCGGTAACTAGGTATAATATTTTAATTTTAATACTAAAGCGCCCTTATAATCTTTTTTTTTTTTTTTAAATTTTTTTAATATTTAAAGTAAGATGGCTCCTATAAGTATACACCTTTTTTATTATATTTTTATTACTTTTTAATTATTTAATTATATTTTTAAAATTAAAATACCTTATATTTACCTTTTCCCATGCTTTTTAAGCATGATATTATTTATTTTAATAATATTAGTTATGTGTTAGTATTATTAGGCCTGTATATTTTATTTTATTTTATATTTAGTTTTTATAATAAGGCTTTAAGTTTTAAATAGCTAAATTTTTTTATTCTTACGCTTTTTTTAATGCTTTTAGTAATTATTTATAATATATAGTTATTTTATTTTAGTTATTAATATATTACTATATTAATTTTTTATTTACCTTTTTTTTATACCTTACTACGTACTTACCTTTTTAATTTAGCTAATAAGCTTTTTATATTTAATTCTTCTTATTTTTATATTTTTAAAACTATTTTTAATAATTAAATTAAACGCGGTTTATTTTTATTATAGTTTTTATTATATTACATGTTTTTAACCCTGTT